CAGTCGTTCTGGTGGGAAGACCTTGTACGTCAGTTGTCGCCCTTTTTCGACCAAACGTCAGTCAGTCTTTAGCGTGCTGATTACTTTTTGTGAAACGTTAAGAGATTGTGCTACAGTGTTCTGTCTTGTTCCAGCTTTAAACATGTCAGACGCCGAAATTCAAAAAGGGGAAAACCATTTAACTGAGTTCAACAATATCAGATCAGCTTTAAGTGTGTTTATTATTACCGAAACAATCGGATCGGGAACAACCGACACGTTTTACTGTAAATTTAGAATTTTACCACAACCATAGATTCCACGGAATTGCCGTGTTTGCACGAAATTCATAACACGTGGAATATTCATTTATAAATCCACATATATAATGTCACCTGAAAATGGAATATCCCCTTCTTATTATAGTACATACTAGTGTTAGTGAGACATAACCAAATAGCGCCCGATAGCGATTGAATTGTGACTAGTTCGCGATCGTGTAACGACCCATTTCTACTGTATGATATTGATTTACAAGTGAAGAAATCAGCCAAATGTGCTGCAAATGTAAAACAGTTTCTGATCAGTTGCAGACTTAATATCTGTTACAGTAAATGCAGAACTGAAATGATGCAACGAGATAAGTATCCTTGTCTATCCATCAAAATATTGCTGAATGAATACATGTTGTGTAACGCCGTGTTCCAGCTTCCACCTGGAAGTGTTAGTCTCGACCAGTCAGACAGCTGCTGGACCGTGTGAACAATGACTGACGGTGATCTGTCATGAACAATCATCCAGTTGACCACCCGATTCACATTAGTCACCACCTTTGGACCAATTCCACCCCGATCGTCCGAGCAGGTGAATCACGGTCATTGTTTTATTGCGTAAAACAATACAAAACTGTTTATCTCCAGTGAAGGTAGTGAATATTGCTTAACGCCAGGCAATGGAGGCACTTTTGAGGCTATTTGCTACGAGAATTGTCATTAGTTTAACATATATATATATATATATATATATATATATATATAGAGATATAGAGAGATATAGAGAGATATATATATAGAGATATAGAGAGAGAGAGAGAGAGAGAGAGAGAGAGAGAGAGAGAGAGAGAGAGAGAGAGAGAGAGAGAGAGAAGAGAGAGAAAGATGAGAATACCGAGCGTACAGTAGTACATATATAAGATTGAAGAAGTTTCTGAAATAACTCCACGACATGGATTTCTCACATGTTTCACTTTTATCTTCAGGAGAAGTGATTACAGTTAAACGGATTATGTTATGACTTGTCATAACATAATCCGTTTAACTGTAATCACTTCTCCCTGAAGATAAAAGTGAAACATGTTGGAGAAAGTCATAACATAATCCGTTTAACAGTAATCACTTCTCCCTGAAAGTTATAAGTGAAACATGTTGGAGAAGATCCGTGTCGTGTGATTATTTCAGAAACTTCTTCAGGGAAGAATCTTTATCTTTCAATAATGTCCTTGTCAACGGCTGTATGGCCACTTCATCATGGCGAGACAGACCATAACTGACGTGACCTCTAAAGTACTGTCGGAAATAGAAAAAAAATGTTTTTAGGCTGTTACTCTGTATCACTAAAATTAATACAATTGCAAATAGCATATGTCGAAATAACCCACATCGGCCTAACTGGGCGTTCAGGGGGATGCGTAATAGGATATCCAGAAAAGAATGTTTACTCGTAAAATCAAGCAAAACTTAGAAAAAGTACGAATAGCTGCTGAAAACAATAGATCAGACTATAGATGGCAATTAGGTCGTTCAGCCAGGTATGACGACGGACCGTCGACTCACTTGGCATGAAATGCACGTGCTGCCCAGAGGAATAGGGGGTCATCTTAAAGATATTTTATGTTTTTTTCATGTGTATTGAATATGTCTCTGTTGATTATCTTATCTTAGCTAATATCTCAGTTCCCCAGCCCGACCCCAACCACCGTCTGCGACACACGTCCTGGATTTGCTTTTGAGACGGCCCCTCCTACCTGTTTCTTTTTATAGTGATAGCTACATCCTTCATGGTTTAATTTCAGTATTAAAGTTATTACTGTTTATGTCAGCTATCGTTTATAATGAAGCTAAGTCTAATTTTAAAATGATCATTTAAAAATTGTCCTTTGTAATACAATATCACCGCAAACTAATTTGCATAAAGCCATGGTGTGTTCTGAAGAAGTCGGATTGGACTTTGAAAAAACCCGCATTGGTCATTTCTGCACTAATCTCTCCTCAGTAAAATCCTTCTTTTACGTTTCCTATCTCCCTACCACTGAGACTGTAGTTAGGCTGAACTTAGTTTAACAGATATTTCACACTGTCACATATTAAATTGTAGATATAAATGTGAAAAAAACATTTTTTTCTATTTCCGACAGTACTTTAGTAAATGTTTTGATGGCATGAAGCATCTCCAGAGGACAGCAGTTATCGGATGCTGAAAAAGAATTTACTCACGTCGATCGAAGTATAATGTTCAGATCTATTCAGTCGCAGGCTACATAAACAAATGTGTATGTCGAAATTTTACAACGCAAAACGACCATGACCTTGCCCACCTATTTGTGGCGTACGTGAAATCTCCCCTCGTCATTCAGTTATATATATATATACCTACTACGTCTGCATTTCAAATATTGTCACCCCGTGGTTAATCACTATCGTCGTCAACATGCTTGTTGACATACTACCTCGTGTTGCGGACCCGCACCAATAGTGCATGCCCAGTTTGACACGGGATAGTACTGGCGTACTAGACGTACCCAGCTAAGCGTACCCATTTAAAACCTGTTTTTCCAAATGGAGTATTTCTCCATGTGAAAGTTTCATCGTGCCTCCGTGATTTTTATCTTCGCAATTATCATTGTTGTGCTCGGGAGATATTTCCAGCTGATAGCACATGACACAAACACATGTGTTCGTGAGTGTGTGCATGACGTAGATTGTTGGATTTATCGTGACAACATGGCCGTCTGTCAGTACCCTGCTGTTATTCAATTATCCCACCCCCGAGGTAGAGGTTAATAAGGAATGGATACTGAAGTCCAAATTGTTTATATATCGGATTTGACACACGTACATGTTGATGATGCTTAAAGGCACACGTTATATAACCGACGTAATAACAAACTACCCGACAAAAATATAGAAAATACGAAAAACACACATGTAACAAGGTGATGTAAAGGTGTGTTAGTAAAACTAATTAATTCCCACGCCTAAGGCGTTGATAACATTTCTGGGAATTTACGTATGGAATACATTAGTTTGAAGTGTCCGAAGCTTTGCATTAAATCATGTAGCTGAATTGTGTCATTACTATTATAGAACGTTTATAGTCGTTGCAGGATTCCACAAAACCATGTGTTTATGAATCTTTATCAAAATAGCACGGATATCAGTTGTTCGCGATAGGTGGCCCCGTCATAAACACATGCAATGGCAAGTCAATAGCCCGTCCAACAGAACACATGGGATCCTCCTTTCGTTATAGACAAACGCCTAAAACTGAAATGTCCCAGCAAAGAAGGGACAAATGGGGAAACTAGGGGACTGTGTCGGACAGGATTTTTATCATTGCAGCGTTCATAAGAAACAATTGCAAGCACATGCAACTTTCTCTTCTCATCACACAATACGTTGACATCCATATTGCATCCAGGAACGGGGGAAAGTACTTGCAACAACACAAAACTTGCAGAAACAGGTTTTCATTAAATAAGAATTAAATAAGAATTGTTGCTGAAGGCGGTATTCGTTGTAAGACTGCCACCACAAGTAGAGGTGTTAACACGTCTGAGCATTAAATATGAGAAAGACGCGTCAAACTTATTGTGGGTAATTTGAAAAGGGTCGAATCTGTTTTTCACATCTAATTTTCAATACATTACATATCTTAATCCTTATTGGAATTACTGTCCAAATGTGCAGATTGTTAGGATAATACCGTTGTTAATAGGATATTGTCGTTAACACGTTTTAAATCTTAATAATGCGTTTAAACTTATTCATGTGCAGACATGACTTGGTGCTCAAGGCGATATTCGCAACACTCCGGATCCCCTCTTAAAATCAAGACCAACAGCGATTTTTAGAATTTTTATGCATTTCATTTTCGAGAAAAGCAAATATTTGATACATTCTAATATGTGAAAATGTCATGTTTAAAGTACTTCTCCGAGGTTGAAAGGTGCTCTTGAGACGCATAACTAACTGTTAAAAATTTTCCCACCCTGTATTTTGTGAAGAAAGGCAAATACTGCTCATTTGGATGAGCCTCTTCAACGTATGTTGTGACACATATTCGAGAAAGGTTTTCCAACTCGGGATATTTTATATTGGTGGTAAATATAGTGCTGAGACAAGTAAGAGCTCGTTATACACTTTAACTAAAAATGAACTGTACATGCCAAAAATTAATCAATCTCAATTATCTGCCGAAACAATTTAAAAAAAGGCAAAATATTCCTCAATTTTTTTCCCATAATTTTAGATAAAATTCCAGATCCCCATTCTCCCTTCCCCCTTCCAGAGTATCAAAATAAAAGACACAAAACCCTTTCCTTAACTACAAGAAACCCCTTTCAAAGTCAGGCTGCAGGACTATATCACGAACGTGTGTTCATGTATCATTAACTGACCACCCGTGCATATGGTCAGCGGCCATTATGGCACTGAGATACAAATCAACAAATGGTCAACCTCGAGCTGTTTGTAAACAGGCTTATATTAACCCGTTTAGCTTATATGCGATAAGATCACTCGACCATGTAATGAACAGATTGGAGGGTATATAAGACAGACATCTATCCTGTATGCTCCATTCGCTAGTGCAAAGCGTCAGATTGTTGCTGCAATACGACCGGATAGGTAAGTGCTTCAGTGTTATATTTCTTGATAAATTCGTGTTTGACCATTGCGGAATATATACATTGTATCATGTGAACAATTGCCTTGCCTTTGTATGTGTTTATGACGGGTCCCACTATGGAGCAGGATGCTTTCATCGCCACGCGGTATCATCACTGTTTGATAGCGATTCGTAAGGGCGTGATGACAATTAGTCGGAATCGTACAATGGATTCCGCAATTTGCAGAATTTTTTATATTATTATTGACAAAAGTTTTGCACATGTTTTGAAACGAGGAAATTGATGATGATGTATTTTGTATACGTTGTGGTACCTGTGGAATCAGGTGTCGGAATATGTCACCAATACCTTGTTGCTGACTGTAACAGGCCAAGTGTCTGGGTCCCGGTGACCTGAGCCGGAGCTGTGCTTGTTGATAGATGGCCGGGCGGTCAACGACGGATTGGCCCGTACACTAAACACAAATATATCATGTATTCTTAAGTAAGAACTATTTCTCATGTTTTCTAAATTTCAAATTGGGTATGAGACATATTTGTGTCGCATATATATCAGCTATAAATGATGTTCAAAGAATCGAACGCTTCAGTCTGGATCGTGTACCGAAATAATTCTATAGGGAGTAAAAGAGAAAAAATATATTGAACAGATCACTGAAAACAATATGTGATGGCGTGTGTGTGTGTGTGTGTGTGTGTGTGTGTGTGTGTGTGTGTGTGTGTGTGTGTGTGTGTGTGTGTGTTGTGTGTGTTTGTGTTTGTGTTTGTGTGCAAAAATGGTAAGCACCCTCCCCTGACTGAGTGAGTGGGTGAGTTTAGTTTTATGCCGCTTTTAGCAATATACCAGTAATATCACAGCGGGGGACACCAGAAACGGGCTTCACACATTGTGTCCGTGTGGTTCGAACAATGTGTGTTTGTACATTTTTACCTTATTATTGTAGCAAGTTCCTCGTAAGTCCTGTTGGTATGCGTGTATATGCAATGCCCGCAAATCTGTTTTGCATGTCTAATTTTTACTATATGTTATATACCGTATGTTACCGTTGATACGCCGAATTTTGAAGACCAAAAAAGCAGCCTGTAGAAGGAGGTAACACTTTCGTGAAACATCATTTTCTGGTGACCAGTAAGAAAACGACATCGTATCGCTTCGCGTGAGCGAACAAGAGAACACGACTTTGTCAGTGAAGACGTCAAATTTGCAATGAAACATCACTAGACGAGATTATTTATCTTAATCCTTATCTGAATTACTGTCCAAATGTGCAGATTGTAAGGATAGTACCGTCGAAAATAGGATATTGTCGTAAACTTGTTTTAAATCTGAATGCCTTTAAACTGATTCATGTGCAGACATGTTGATATTCTAAACATGTGTAAACGATAGGGATGCTATATTAAGGTAGTGTTATGGCTGCGAGACATTTGCTCGCGTCATGAGTTGACGTTATAAAAGTGATAGAACACACCAAGTATTCACTTCAGGATTTAAAAACACGCACTAAGAGTGAGTGAATGAGTTGGGTTTTACGCCACTTTTAGCAATATCACGGCGGGGACGGGGACACCAGAAATGGGCTTCACTCATTGTGCTCATGTGGGGAATTGAACCCGGCCTTCGGCGTGATGAGCGAACGCTTTAACCACTACGCTCCCCACCCCCCCACACCCGACCCCCAACTAAAAAGTTAAGTTCGAGCCATTTCTTGTAAACTGACATACAGAAAAAAGTGAACATCTTGTGTTTGGGATCCCCCTTCCGCCTCCCCCCCTTTAAAAATTAAATAAAATACTTAAAATCAATCAATCAATCATACAATGAATCAATCAAAATTAAAACAACAACATTTTTTTACATAATATATGTTGATTGTGATTTACAAGTCTCATTTTGTTTTCGTAATATTCCTAGTATTCTTATATTTCCAGGCCATCACGATGAACGCGCTAGTCCAAGTGGCGCTCTTGGTGCTTCTGGCATATCAAGGTATTTTAAAAAGTTTTCGAAACATGTATATTAAGCCAATGTTCCTTTATTGTTTTGACCATGAAATGTGAGTCCTTACATGTAGCTCTTCCCATGTTTGGCTGATTGTTTTCCCGTGTTTTCCTTCGTAGCAAAATTCATAAAGAAAATCATCTGAAGACATAAAAAAGTTTTATCAATGACGAATTTGGCATATGTTTTATTTCTGGTTGTGTTTCCGCATAGTTTCAACTCAGAGATCTGGCAATGTCCAGACTGGCGGGAGAAGGAGTTCCCCGGATGCCCTCAGGCTCGGACGGCAATTTGCTTCTGGGTAAGACTAAACCTTTACTCGGTATTACTGACACAATTTTAACGTAATACAATAGGTTTCTTTGCGTCCTTTGGAACGTATTTCAACAGATTATTGAGACTTTTTTCTGGCATTAGCGCTTTGGATTCGATATTATGCTAAAGGTAAAGAGTTTTAAAAGTTTTTCCTGCTTTCTGTTTTCGAGTGTTAAACAGTGAGTTAGGAGAGGGTATGATATAAATCTTTCAGTCAATGCCTTTCAATGACAGAAATCTATGGATGAGAAATGTGTGTCCTTTGAATGTGACAACTTCAAATATGATTTGTGAATAAAGTACAGCTTTGCCCTGAACTGTAAGGTTCTTGAGAGGCATTTAGAAGTTGGTATTCAAGTAAAAGGCAAATATTATGGATGACAACTTCTTCTTTATTGTATGTCACAACGTTTCTGGGCTTTTCCTTGCTCCTTCGTCAGGTGAATTGGGAATAGCCCAGAAACGATGTGACATACAAGTTGTCATCCATAATATGTGCCTTTTACTTGAACTATTATAGTTAAAGCACGTAGACGCTAGTGTGCCATATATCGACAGAGGGATCATTACCCACGTTTTTAGGCTCTTGCCTGCCTGGTCCAGTCACAATATTGACAGGGTATGGAGATGAGGCGAGAGTATGTACAGCTCGGCGTTAACCCGTAATTTATTGACAATTCTTATTGCAGAGATACAAGCAGCTGTGCACCTGAAATACGATGTCCTCGCGAAGTAGCGGAGTCCAAATTCAGAACTGCCGACGGCACCTGTAACAACCTCGAACACCCCGACTGGGGCAGTGCCCTCATTCCAATGAGAAGGCTGTTACCCCCACAATACGGAGACAGTTAGTTAACATATATTCATTATTGCATTGCCCATAACTATACGACCATCCCCCATTCTCTAAGCACCAGGATTGACACAGTTTTCTATTTTACTTTTGTAATACACTTTGTTTACTGCTTCCCCACAGAGGCTTATAAATTAAAGGATGATAAAAGGTTCAATAGAAGCCGTTTCTGATGGAAAAATCTGAAATTAAAACCCTTTACGCAGTTGAACAATCAGTGAGCTCAAGTTATTAAGCCATGTGTAGGGACGTCTAATATATTGAACAGATGACGGGACAGGGCCTATTCGGATTCTTAAAGTGGTAGATGTGAATAATTATAAGTAACGAACCACAGTAGACTGTAGTATGTATGTTTTGTTTCAGGAAAGTCGACCCCAAGACTGGATTCACAAGACAACCCACTGCCCAACGCGCGTCTTGTGAGCAGGGTCATGCACACGGACGACACTAGTCAGGCCAACTCCACCGGAGTCACCCACATGGTCATGCAGTGGGGTCAGTTCCTGGACCACGACATCACCCTCACCCCCCTCCAGGAGTCGGAGAGTAAGTAGCCCGGCACAGGTGTTTCATGTTGACTGTTGGTGAGGTGACCTGATGTAAGTAGCCCGGCACAGGTGTTTTATGTTGACTGTTGGTGTGGTGTCTTGATGTAAGAAGCCCGGCACAGGTGTTTCATGTTGACAGTTCTTGAGGTGTCTTGATGTAAGGAACCCGGCACAGCGTGTTTCATGTTGACTGCTGGTGAGGTGTCCTGATGCAAGTGGCCCGACACAGGGTGTTTCATGTTGACTGTTGGTGTGGTGTCCTGATGTAAGTGGCCCGGCACAGGTGTTTCATGTTGACTGTTGGTGAGGTGTCTTGATGTAAGAAGCCCGGCACAGGTGTTTCATGTTGACTGTTGGTGTGGTGTCTTGATGTAAGTAGCCCGGCACAGGTGTTTCATGTTGACAGTTCTTGAGGTGTCTTGATGTAAGGAACCCGGCACAGGGTGTTTCATGTTGACTGTTGGTGAGGTGTCTTGATGTAAGGAACCCGGCACAGGGTGTTTCATGTTGACTGTTGGTGAGGTGACCTGATGTAAGTGGCTCGGCACAGGGTGTTTCATATTGACAGTTGGTGAGGTGACCTGATGTAAGTGGCCCGGTACAGGGTGTTTCATGTTGACTGTTGGTGAGGTGACCTGATGTAAGTGGCTCGGCACAGGGTGTTTCATATTGACAGTTGGTGAGGTGTGTTGATGTAAGTGGCCCGGTACAGGGTGTTTCATGTTGACAGTTGGTGAGGTGACCTGATGTAAATGGCCCGGCACAGCGTGTTTCATATTGACTGTTGGTGAGTTGTCCTGATGTAAGTGGCCCGACACAGGGTGTTTCATGTTGACTGTTGGTGAGGTGTCCTGATGTAAGTAGCCCGACAAAGGGTGTTTCATGTTGACTGTTGGTGTGGTGTCTTGATGTAAGTAGCCCGGCACAGGTGTTTCATGTTGACAGTTCTTGAGGTGTCTTGATGTAAGGAACCCGGCACAGGGTGTTTCATGTTGACTGTTGGTGAGGTGTCCTGATGTAAGTGGCCCGACACAGGGTGTTTCATGTTGACTGTTGGTGAGGTGTCCTGATGTAAGAAGCCCGGCACAGGTGTTTCATGTTGACTGTTGGTGTGGTGTCCTGATGAAAGTGGCCCGGCACAGGTGTTTCATGTTGACTGTTGGTGTGGTGTCTTGATGTAAGAAGCCCGGCACAGGTGTTTCATGTTGACTGTTGGTGTGGTGTCTTGATGTAAGTAGCCCGGCACAGGTGTTTCATGTTGACAGTTCTTGAGGTGTCTTGATGTAAGGAACCCGGCACAGGGTGTTTCATGTTGACTGTTGGTGAGGTGTCTTGATGTAAGGAACCCGGCACAGGGTGTTTCATGTTGACTGTTGGTGAGGTGACCTGATGTAAGTGGCTCGGCACAGGGTGTTTCATATTGACAGTTGGTGAGGTGACCTGATGTAAGTGGCCCGGTACAGGGTGTTTCATGTTGACTGTTGGTGAGGTGACCTGATGTAAGTGGCTCGGCACAGGGTGTTTCATATTGACAGTTGGTGAGGTGTGCTGATGTAAGTGGCCCGGTACAGGGTGTTTCATGTTGACTGTTGGTGAGGTGACCTGATGTAAATGGCCCGGCACAGCGTGTTTCATATTGACAGTTGGTGAGTTGTCCTGATGTAAGTGGCCCGACACAGGGTGTTTCATGTTGACTGTTGGTGAGGTGTCCTGATGTAAGTAGCCCGACAAAGGGTGTTTCATGTTGACTGTTGGTGAGGTGTCCTGATGTAAGTGGGCCGGCAGAGGGTGTTTCATGTTGACTGTTGGTGAGGTGGCCTGATGTAAGTAGCCCGGTACAGCGTGTTTCATATTGACTGTTGGTGAGGTGTACTGATGTAAGTGGCCCGGCACAGCGTGTTTCATGTTGACGGTTGGTGAGGTGTCCTGATGTAAGTGGCCCGGCACAGGGTGTTTCATGTTGACTGTTGGTGAGGTGTCCTGATGTAAGTAGCCCGGCACAGGGTGTTTCATGTTGACAGCTGGTGAGGTGACCTGATGTAAGTGGCCCGGTACAGCGTATTTCATCTTGACTGTTGGTGAGGTGTACTGATGTAAGTGGCCCGGCACAGGGTGTTTCATCTTGACTGTTGGTGAGGTGACCTGATGCAAGTGGCCCGACACAGGGTGTTTCATATTGACGGTTGGTGAGTTGTCCTGATATAAGTGGCCCGGCACAGCGTGTTTCATGTTGACTGCTGGTGAGGTGTCCTGATGTAAGTGGCCCGACACAGGGTGTTTCATGTTGACTGTTGGTGAGGTGTCCTAATGTAAGTGGCCCGGCACAGGGTGTTTCATATTGACAGTTGGTGAGGTGTCCTGATGTAAGTCGCCCGACACAGGGTGTTTCATGCTGACAGTTGGTGTGGTGTCCTGATGTAAGTGGCCCGGCACAGGTGTTTCATGTTGACTGTTGGTGAGGTGTCCTGATGTAAGTAGCCCGATACAGCGTGTTTCATGTTGACTGTTGGTGAGGTGTCCTGATGTAAGTAGCCCGATACAGCGTGTTTCATGTTGACTGTTGGTGAGGTGTCCTGATGTAAGTGGCCCGGCACAGCGTGTTTCATGTTGACTGTTGGTGAGGTGACCTGATGTAGGTAGCCCGGCACAGGGTGTTTCATACTGACTGTTGGTGACATACAGGAGCTCATGTTTTGTGTCAAATATATTAACATATTCTACAAAATAGTGCATTGAACATATACAAAGAACCGATTAAAATATTTTTTTATGAGCGGGCAGCTGATTTTCGTTGTGAAGATAGATGGGAAAACATTCATCAAATACTCTTTTCATCTCTTGGCTTGTGTATATTAATTGTATATTCATATATTCTGCAAAATTGTGCATATCTCCAGTGTTGTGAAGAACTGAATATAAAATATTCGTATGTGCGGACAACTAATTTTGTTTGGAAGACAGATCAAAGGATCATGTTTGATCTGTAGCCATGTCCGACTATGTTTCCAGGTGCCGACGGTACCATCAGCCAGTATGTGTGTTGTGCGGATATATACACTAGTGACGCGCCCAATGGACGGGACCTCTTCAGAAACATGTAAGATAATAATCCAAGTACACTGTCGTCAGGCTCCCCATTGTTCTCGGTGCCCTTGGTTTGGTACCTCCTGATCTCTTGGCGCAGATAAGGAGAGTGCCCGGCTTCTCCACCGGGAGCACAGCCCTCCTGACAATCTGGGTAATGCAGAAGGATGCAGTGTTGGGGAGCCTTCATATTCTCCGGAAAGTTCTTGGTGGGTTCGACTGGGCAGTGTTTCCTGGGAGAAGTCCCATTCGCTGTCTGGGCTGCGTGTAGAGGGGGCAAGGGCCCTGAGCTGATGATGAGCCTTACCAGCCTGACTGTGCCAGGATCACCCGAACCCTCTGCATACTATCTTTAATCTGTAAAACAAAATAATATCAGTGCATATTTATTATGCGCACACATCCATTCTTGTAAGCATGTTCTTGGCGCTAACACATTATTACCCCGGATAACCCAAGCTGCATGTTAGGCGTTAGAAGGTTATAGTCACATGACTTATCCCACCGGGTACCCTTTTTATGTTGGGTAAACAGCGGCAATCTTGAACAAATTCACTTGCCTAAGGTGTAACGATTCAAACGAAAGAATCAATAGTGTAATATTGATACAATATACCATATCGATTTCCTAGTTCGTCGACAATATCGATTCTGATTACGAATAATTAGAAGGTGTATTCCGAAATATAACATATGTAACATATGTTGCCTCATTATAATGATGTCTGTCTTTGCGAAACATGCACATAACGGTAATAGCATGTGCAGGGACTACGTGCAAATGCGTCCCTCCTTGGGAAATACATGAGTGAGTGAATATGGTTTTACGCCGTTTTAAGCAATATTCCAGCAATATCACGTCGGGGGGCACCAGGGGCTTCACACATTGTACCCATGTGGGGAATCGAACCCGTACCTTCTAAGTGACGAGCAAACGCTTTTAACCAGTAGGCTACCCCAACCACCCCGGAAAATGCAAGAATTATGGGGGTGTCTTGGATACAGGCTTCATGGTTGTGTTTTCGACGTTACGTTTGAGGCAAATAGGCTTTCGAAAATATACGTGTTTTTGTCAAATCAAATTTACATGTACATATTCTTTTTCCCCGTTACTATTCACTACACGCAGTTCATGAGACCCGTCCCGATTGATCTGTAATTTGTCTGTGTTTCAGAAACGTTTGTGACGCCATCCTCATTCCCTCAGGAGATGAATACTTCACGTCAAGGACATGCCTGAACTTCGTGCGTTCCATCCAAGTACCTAACCCCAGATGTGACACATGTGAGTCTTTCGGGCGCCCATGTTATAACAGCTCGTATTGCATATCTAGTCAGTCAGTAGATCCCCCTCGTATAGATCAGGGTTAGAACTGATCTTCAGCAACCCATATTTGTCCCCGTAAAGATCCGGGTTAGAACTGATCTTCAACAACCCACCCTTCTCTCCATGAAGATTAGGGTTAGAACTGATCTTCAGCAACCCATATTCGACCCCGTAAAGATCCGTGTTAGAACTGATCTTCAACAACCCATATTCGATCCCGTAAAGATCCGTGTTAGAACTGATCTTCAACAACCCATACTAGCGACCATGAAGACCAGGATTAGAATATCGCTGAAACCATACTCCAGAAACCAAATCGTGCTGACGATCGAGTTGATGATATTCAATATGGGAAATAAACAGTCTGTTTAGTTTAAATGCTAGAATGTTATGCCATAATGGATGACGTCATGCTTAAATGATTGGGAAACCTTTCTACGCTATGTATTCTGTGTAGTAGTGGTGATAAGTATAAAGACCTCATCTATGTGACAAAATGCTATTGTTCCGTTAAATATTGATTACACAAAAAGTATGTTTGAAGTGATTTTAATTCCCTCAGACCTCACTTTGTGGTAGAGAAAACATATATCTTCAGACAAAAATGTATTAACAGGCAGTGAAAAATATGCACTTTTTCCTGGATCCAATCCAGAAAACGGTTTCCTCCCGTCAGGACCCAGCACTTGCTCGCATTGATTCTACAACTGTTGTTCAGATCCCGCCGAGCAGCTGAACCAGATCACGGCCTACATCGATGCATCTAATGTCTACGGGTCATCTGACCATGAGATGGAGGAACTGAGGGGGATGAATGGTAAATTTGGGGCAACATGTGACATTGCAGTGGAGAATGACGGTAGTATTAGGCTAGACTGTTGTGGATAGGTACAGTCAGTCTTATGGGTTTAATGATTTCTGTTTACGCTGGAATACGTCACGGTTGTGTCAGCAATACGGGTGCCCTGTCATCTGAGGCACAGCAACTAGCTGAGCAGAGTTGCATCCCTTTGCAGGCAAGACCCCTGTAATGGAAGCCCGATTTACGAGATTATGTTTCTAATTTGTCAGCACCAAACACGTGCTTGTGGGTTTCAGCGGTAAACGTCAGCGATCTGCGTTACTTCGGACTTTTATCCCAAATTAAGCTGACCCGCAGTGACTTGACTTGAATACTGTTAAAAGCGGCATTAAATCCAACTCGTATTAGCGAGACAGATGTGACAGAAAGTTTCAACATATTTTTGTGCAGTACAAGTGGGTGAGTCAGATTGGTTCGGGCCAAGAAACAGTTGTGGTCGAAGGCGTTTGGTTCACTACAATTGTTTAGGCAGATGATAACAGGCGTGATCACATGACGCAATCTTGACCTTGACCTGTGTCAGGTCACCATGTGTGTGATCCCGTCACCTACACCTCTCGCAAAGTCAAACATTTTGTAATCTCGTAACACAACAATATTCTTTCTGATAAATCATGAAGATGTAAATATTTGCTGTGATTGAAACGAATACATGTTTGTTCAGTGGTATCATAATTGTGTTTCACACCTGAAGTTTTCAGGGTCCCGGTCCACAAAGCGCCCGTAAGGTTACGACCTGTCGTAACTCCATAGTTTATCATAGGCTTGCGAATGTTGTTGCGCTACGAACGTTTTGTGGATCGGGACCCAGTATTTTAACGACTGTATCCGCCCGCGCAATGTTTTGACAATGTTAAGGTTTAGGTCAAATCCAATTTCCAAGTGTAAACTTTCCATTGCCTATCGGTATAGATCATTTGCCTTGACATGTCATTCAGTATATCCGTCACTGTTGCAGGCCTAATGAAGACGAAAGATGCTACACTCCTCCCAGAGGAAAGCGACACCTCTGCCTGTGTATCTGAAGACGCCAGCTACTGCTTCAAAGCCGGTAGGTGCACAACGGCTGTCGAAACCTATATATTAAGGAGTAAAGGGCAAGAGAGGTGGAAATGATCGTACTGGTGTCTTATGCGGCGGCACCGGGTGTTCGCGAAATACGTTATTCATGAACCATTGCACATCAGTTTAGCACAGATGGGATAATCACTTTGCTGCATCGATGTTGAATGAAGTAGTGATTGTGGGTTGTTATTAAAGTGAGTGAGTGCCTTTACGCCGCTTTTAGCAAAATTCCACCAGAAATGGGCTTCAAACATTGTATCCATGTGGGGAATCGAACCCGGGTCTTCGGCGTGACGAGCGAGCGCTTTAACCGCTAGGCTACTCCACCGCCCCTTGTAATTAAAGATTAAAGGGTTAATATTTATACTGTGACAAATGAAAATAACATAAGTGAAATGTACATATGTTTTCAACATTTATTTGTATGAAAAAGGTGTTTCTCTATAGATCTTGGTACATTTTATCTATGTAAAGCCATCAGTAACCATGGTGACAATGATAACTCTCTGGTTCGCGTCCTATTCACCAATATCAAAACCGGATTCCAAATCCTCTACGTGTATATTTTAATCTAAATATTCAGAAACATGTTAAATACGTGGCATGGCCTAAACATACAGAAAAATGTATATGTACAGTTAATTAAAATGCGAGTATAAGTAACTCAAAGGGTCTATTAGTTCTTGTTCGTTATAATCCTACTTCGATATATTTAGGCCGAAATGTACAACTTGTGGCCAGGACCAAGTTCGTGATATCGGTGAGTTCGTTTTAAGTGTGTTTGTTAACCTTTGCTCCAGGTGATGAAAGAGTGAACGAACAGATGGCCCTGGCAAGCATGCATACAATCTGGGTGAGAGAACACAACCGAATTGCTACCGGTCTCAGGGCTCGAAACACTGACTGGAGCAGCAACAAAATCTTCCAAGAAACGAGGAAAATTGTTGGTGCCATGATGCAGAAAATCACATACGGCGAATTTCTGCCCGTTGTCCTTGGCAACCACCTTGACGCCTACAATCTCAGACTTGCGTCATCCGGTTTCAGGAACGTCCACCGGCGCGACGAGGACGCCAGCGTCGTCAACGCATTTGCAACAGCTGCGTACAGGTAGTGTAATCAGCCTGATGAACCAGGTGTTATCAGACTGCAGTTCAGTCTCCTCAAAATGAGATCTAACTTCTAGCTAACTTCCAGCTATCGCTAAACACAGATATGAGAACATTACAGATCACGTGAGAACGATCTTCCACCCGACCAATCAGAGCGTCCCTTTCCAGACCAAGAAAATGTCAGTCGAAATAAGTTTTCTAATTATGTAACTTAAGTTAAGACGGTGTTCACAAACACTGTTCAAAGTCATCGTCTATCTCTGGCTTCAGTGGAATAAGCATTTGAGACGGAAAAAAACTTAAACAGGACATGAGAAGTTCTGCCATGGTCTGAACCATCTATTTGCGTCCGTTTTCACATTCCGAATTGACATTTGTCAAAGCGTGGCCTTGACTGGAAGTTTGAAACTCGATTGTATCTGGAACAAGCTGCATTCCGATTGATTAATGTTGCGTTAGTCCATTGGTCGGTAACATGGCGTGACGTATAATAGGATGTCCTCAGGTCTAGTGACAATTAAAATCTCATCCAAATGAGGTAGGGTGAAATTGATTCGGTAAACCTCGACTTCGAGTATGTCCAAATCACTCTTGATCAGACACGGTGGTGATTCCTAGATTGAACGCTTGAAGGCCGTCAGTTGGAAAGCAGCTGGAAGTATGGTATCGCAGTTAAAGACATGAACTTACTGACGTCATAGGTTTACGTCACCTCAACATGGTTTGTAACACTACTCTGTAGGCTGGAATTTATATGGACTGATAGAACGGATAACATGCATAAAATACAGTTATATATTTTGATCTTGTAGATTTGGCCACTCCCTGATAAGAAATATATTCTCCAAGTACAGCACTGGCTACTCCAGCTACGAAGACAATGCGCTCCATGATATTTTTGGAAGAACAAATCTCATCCAGTCCTCCACAGAGTCCATTGGCGCCTGGCTCCGCGGCTTGGTATCCCAAGAAGCAAGGAGTGCCGACAGGTTCATGACAACTGAAGTGACCAATCAGCTCTTTGAGGAGGCGGCGCAAACCGGCCTTGACCTCGCAGCTTTGAATATCCAGAGAGGGCGTGACCATGGCATACCTGGCTACAATGCCTGGCGTGAACACTGCGGCTTGCCAGTGGCCAAAGAGTTTCATAGCCTGCACAATATTGATGATATCGATACTCAACTTAAACTGTTCGCCCTATATGAGTAAGTATTTTACCCAAATAAAAGACTGTAAGATAAAGGTAGAGCAGTTACATTGTAGGCTGGGGCTAGGGATGATTAGAATAATCCAAAGATAGTTCAGGACATTTGAAGTTCTTGAAAGTCATTTAGAAGTTACATGACATATTTGTATTGTTTATCGCCTGATGAAGGAGCAAGAATTAGCTCTGAAACGTCGTGATAAAGAATATAACGGAGCGAAAACTGGAATTTACAGGTCGTTGTAATTAATTGAAACTGGAATGAAATCTGATTTCAATGGTTTGGCCTTTCAACAATGTCCAGCTATAATCAGTCTAGTGAGTGAGTGAGTTTATTTAACGCCGCACTCAGCAATATTCCAGCTATATGGCGGTAGTCTGTAAATAATCGAGTCTGGACCAGACAATCCAGTGATCAACAGCATGAGCATCGATCTGCGCAATTACCTGATGCGCGTTATCTGACAACAACCTTCCTCTGAACCTACAAGGGAAATAAAGTTCAACAAAGTATAACACACACACTTATGCGTGAGCGTGAGCGTGTGCGTGTGGGTGTGCGAGTGCGTGTGCGAGTGCGTGTGCATCAATTAAGTCACGAAGCCTCACCATCGGCACATTTCGTCGGTCGCCTCTTACTGCTAACATACGTTGCGATGGACCTTCATCCAGAATCACCTGAAGAAACCACCTACTAAGTATTCGACTTCGAGAAAAAAATATTCGTCAGATTCATTTCCATGTTATGATCGCAAGTGTTCTTTTATTCCACAGACGCACTGCCGACATTGACCTGTTCACTGGAGGTCTGGCGGAGACGGTCGGGACCGGTTTGGTGGGGCCAACTTTCGCTTGTATCTTGGGAAAACAGTTCCAACGTTTAATGGAGGGCGACAGATTCTGGTTTGAAACGGACGATCGACATACCCACTTTAGACCTGGTGAGTCTCTGAGTTTCTGGCCCAGACTCGATTATTTACAGACCGCCGCCATAGCTGGAATATTGCTGAGTGCGGAGTAAAACTAAACTCATAACTGAGGTGACCCTGTCAAACTATAAACGATGTTGATACTGCACTGCAACAACACAGAGCTAAGTGCTGGTCTATAACGTCTTTCTGATGGATCTTTGAAATTTGCATGGCAGTTTTTACTCTTCAGCTGAGTACATACGTTGATATCGGACGACACATGCAGTATGATTCGTTTCCTTGGACAATTACATTTGAGATTATGGAACAATGTATTTCGTATCGTGCTTGCAATCGATGGCGATAATGTTTATCTGCCATCGCGCTTCGCAAAATGCACCAAATCCCCTCTCACTATCATTCCATTCCGAAAAATACACAGGAAGTTGCATGATCGAATATAAGAACACGCATTTCAAGGCAAGCCTGTCTGGAAGTGAATTGTTTTACGGTTTGTTTGAGATTCCGATTCATGGACAGTCGGTTGTTAGTGCAGAATGTTCCGTGTCTTTCTTGGAAACAGTATAAACCAGTCATTTCCTTATGTTCGACAAATCAAAATCAAAACAGAGAGTAGGCTAGAGACAAAGTTAAAGCAGATACAACATCCAAGGCCCTTGTAACGGTTTCAAAATGCTTTAAAGGCGACATGTGACCGAAATGCCTTATGTATGACGTGGGAAGCCAGAGACAAACACAAGATACCAAGCCATGTTCATGGCATAGTCGGAAACGTATAATGAACACTGCTTTCATCAGATGATTATGGAAACAACATTTAAAGTGACATTCAAGCGTCGCCATGAACAGTATTTCAGTTGACAGGGCGTATGAAAGTACCGTGGGGAATCAACAAATAAGGCAGGATATGGGTGTTTGTGACATTAAGGAAACCCAGTAATTGTTACTGGCAAATCAATGTTGATAACCAGAGGCTGGCGATCGACAAGCTGATCCTGGTTCAACCAGTGTACACACAGCGTGCATGTATCACTGCACTTTAAGAAAGCCTAGATGTGTCGTGACAGGAAGATGGGTGCTTTTTGGAAAAAATGTCTCTTTGAGTAAATGAGTGGTTTAATACTCCGGTTTCAAGAGTATTTAAGGCCCTAATACGTGCGCCTTTGGTTTGATAGGTCCGTGGGATTTGTTGTAATTTGTTCCATTGAAATTGCGGCGGGTTTTATTGGCATGATGCACTCCATCTAGATATCGTGTCATGTTAGTATGTTGTGTGTCTATTTCTATCTAGAGCATGCATACATTCCATATCTCTGCTTTTCTGATTTTGATTGGAAAACCTTATATGATTGTTAAATTAACTCCTAAACAATAAATTTTCAGAACAACTTGAAGAAATTAGGAAGGCTTCCCTGTCCCGTGTTCTGTGTGATAACACCGATACCACGTCCATCCAGCCCAACGCTTTCAGGACAAAGGATACCACAGGGTGAGTTTAGAACACAGCACCTCAATAGGACTGTTACATGAAATGAATTTTTTCACGACTAAGTATGCAGCATATGGGTTATATAATAGCGACCGGACATATTGATAAAGGAGCCAGACAGACCAGTTGTAAACACGAACAACAGCCAGCCCCGAGTATTGCAACTTGGTTGTATATTTATCTCAAAATGTAAAAAACCTTCAAGATCCGTGGAAACGGACATGACAGTTTCAGTGAAAACAAATAAAGGCTTGTTTAGTGAGTGTATGAGACGGCAACAGTTATAGTAAATAGCTAGTTTCAAGTAAATCAAGCATTTGAGGTATGGGTTCGAGTCCCTACGTGGGTACAGTATATGAAGACCATTTCAGGTGTGCCCTGTGTGATATTGCTGTGATATTGCTGCTGGGATATGCTGATATTGCTGTGATATTGCTGTGATATTGCTGCTGGGATATTGCTGGGATATTGCTTAAAGCGGCGAAAATATTATTCGCTCACCATTTGAGGTGCGAGGTGATAGATTAAACATGACGGTGAATAAGATAAATTTCAGTAAATGTTGTTTTTTGTCAATTACAGAAATGGTCTGGCATCGTGCACTGATCGACGCATCCCCAGTATTGATCTGGACAAATGGACTGATAATAACCCCCAACCCCCACCTCCACGAAGGTCTGGCAAATAGACGTCTTTGTCATTGTGACTAACGAACCTAAACATTCCAAACATTAACGATAATTAAAATAAAAGCAACAAAAAGTTGATCCCTTGTTCGTTGAATTTTTATTTTCACTGTAGAAACGTATTTTACTTACAAACATATATCAAGGTTACACAAAAAGATGTATATTGGTCCTTTATGTGGACAGTTGGATATGTCTAGGGCGACATTTTCATATGCTGAAATATAATTCGGCCAAGAAAACATCCGTACACACAAACAGTACCCTGCAAATGCTGAGCAAACAGGTATTGAATGAATAATGTTTTACTAAATTTATGTTAAAGGCAGTGACTGAAGCTAAGATCTTTTTAACCCCCAATCACAAAAGTCAACAGCGGCCTATAACTAAACTAGTCTGGGTCAGACAAACCAGAGACTGATGTTATGAACAACACTCGGTGGAATGGGAGTATGATGACGTAACGAGGAGTAGGTATATAACAAACGAACTCAAAGGTGCCACTATTTTCGTTCGTTATAGCCGGAAGTCGTTATTTGCATTTCCGGGACACAAAAACCAGTTCGTTACATCCATCAATTCGTTATAAACATAGTCGTTATTGACGCCATTGAAATGACACGCAGTGCAACAGTGAGTGACTATGGTTTTACGCCGCCAGCAATATCACGGCGAGGGACACTAGATACAGAGATTACGAAACGAGTGTCTGTCAGATACCGTTTATCCTACAACGAGTTGTTTCAAACGTATTTAACGTGTGAAAGCGAGTTAGATGCATTTAGAAACAACGAGTTGTAAGATAAATGGTATCTGACAGACACGAGATTTATTTATTTCTTACATACCATACAATGGCACCATTGTATGGCCGAATAAATTCAAATTTCATATCTTTTCAATGCAGTTGCGCAATAATACACAATACAACGTTTATGAATGAGTGACGTCACTTGGCTTCCTAATCACTACTCAACATAACCCTCCACAAAATAGGTTTCTGCCACATCTTCGCGTCATCAAGGAGGTAATGATACGCCCCTGACGAAGCACACGCTATCACACTGTGAATGTTTTAATATACTCATGCCAATAATGGTTGTCACCAATTAAAAAAATGAAGGGGGTGACAACCATTATTGGCATGAATATACTAAAATATTGTTGGAAAACTGAGGTGCACACAATATTTGATCATTTGGGCAGTGCTGTGAACAGTATTGGTGATGATGTGAACAGAATTGAGCACCAGCAGGAAATGTTTACAGTGACATTGATGCAATCACATCCAGACTGGAATCAGTGGAATGCAAGTTAGAAAAGCAGGCCGAGGACCCAGACAAGCTTGAGGCACACAGCCGTAGAGATAATGTGGTGTTTTATAATATAAAGGAAAGTGAGCATGAATCCTATGATTTTTGTAAAGATCTTGTTATAGATACCATAAAAAAGCACACCCAAGACCGCACTTGGCGTCGATCAGACATTATAAGGGCTAGATTCTAGAGTTCACAGATTGGACTATCAAATGACCTGACTAAACGTTAACGTAATATTATATCGGGAGGTATTTATGTATTTATAAGAAAAACATTTCTGAAATTTTGTTCGAGGGTCCCTATTGATATTGATAACGCAGTTTGTATCCGATTAGATAAGCGACTTATAGACACAGATCGTGATGTTTTACTTCTTGTAGCTTACGCTCCCCCAGAGGGATCTTCTTACTATAAAGTCACAGGAAACGCTACTCTGTTCGAGAAGTTAGAACAGTGGTTATTAGATAATTCAAATTATCTTACGGATTGCTATATACTTCTTTGTGGAGATTTAAATGCTCGGGTTGGGACTGGAAATCAGTCTCCGGATATCCAGAGTGAAAACTTTGATGACTATTGTCCCGAGGATGAAGCGGTCCCTGTAAATGCTAGATTTACAAATGATACTTGTGTAAATAGATTTGGGAAATTTCTGTTAAGTTTGTGTTACGTTTTTAACTTGTATATCTTAAACGGCCTGATGGAAGGAGATACTGGAGGGATGTTTATTTATATTTCCGAACAGGGTTGTAGTCTAATTGATTACGTTATATCATCACCTGGACTATTTAAGTATTTCTCGAACTTCGATGTAGGAGATAGAATAGAGAGTAAACACATGCCTTTGATCCTTAGATTCACTGGTCCAGGTGAAACACTGGTAACTAAAGACGTGAGTACAAGTACATTCAAGTATAGATGGAATAACGATCACGCTAGCACTTTCATTGAAAATGTTATCTGATATAGGTTTCCATTTAGACAATTTCATAAATGTCTTAGAGAAGGATGTAGATTTAGCCATTGACTCATTTGTCAGAATTTTTCTTGATGCTGCTGACTGTATGCAAAAGAGAGTGCCTGTTATTCCGAAAGTATTCCCCTTTTATGGACAAGAGTGTCATAAGGCAAAAGAAGAAGCTAAACGTAGTTTACGTATATTTAGACGAAACAGAACTTCAGTGTGTAAAACTCAATATTGTAAACTTAGAAATAAACATAAAAGTTCATGTAGACAGTGGAAACGTAAATACCAATACCACAAAACAAATAAACTATATCTTGCAAGGAACAATTCCACTGTATTCTGGAGGGAGCTGAGAAAGATTTCAAAGCTAAAATCCCATACGAATGATATAACTAAAGAAAGATGGTACGATCATTTTTATGAACTTTTCAATAGGAGAGATATAACTGAACCAGATGTACTGCTCAATTTAGATCAATCTGTAGAAATGAGTGAAGTTGTTAAGGAAATACTTGAATACTTGAACTGAGGAAGAAATTCACAAGGCTATACGGCATATGAAAAATGGTAAATCTCCAGGAATTGATGAGGTCCTTATAGAAATGATTAAAACAAGCGAACCTAAAATAATGCCTTTTTTAGTGGCAATGTTCAATCAAATATTTTCAAACGGTTGTTTTCCACAAGTGTGGAGTAAAGCAATTATAGTTCCTCTGCACAAAAGGTGATGTAAATATTCCCGATAATTACCGGGGAATATCTTTACTCAGCTCACTCGGGAAATATATATACTAGTGTTTTAAATGAAAAACAAAATGGGCAAATGTTATGGATAAAGTTTCTGAAACTCAAGCTGGTTTTCGGAAGGGCTATTCAGTTGTTGAGCATATCTTCACATTGTATGCTATCATCGAGAAAAACCTATGTAGAAGAAGGAAAAAGATATACGTTGACTTTAAAAAAGCTTTTGATTTTGTGAATAGAGATAAACTCTGGAAATTACTCTCATCATACGGCGTAAACGGTAAAATGTTACAAGCTCTTATGAGCATATATAACACAGTGAAATCGTGTGTCAGAGTACAATCCGAGCTAACGGAACATTTTAATTGTCCATTTGGCTTGCGGCAGGGCTGTATGTTGAGTCCAATGTTATTCTCATTGTTTATAAATGAACTTTCTGTAGAAATCACAAATTATGGTAAGCATGGGGTCCAATTGTTTCCAGATGTACTTAAAATTCTAATGTTGTTGTTTGCGGATGATGTAATTCTTGTGTCAGATACTATTGGTTGTCTTTATTGCCAGCTAGACACTTTAAAATCGTATGCAGATAAGTGGGGATTAACTGTTAATTTAGATAAATCTAAAGTTCTTGTTTTTAGGAGAGGTGGGAAATTAGCGGTTAAGGAAAACTGGCTTTATAATGGGAGAAACATTGAAACGGTAAACAGCTACAAATATCTAGGTTTTGTGTTCACGTGTTTTTGTAGTCTCAGGCAAGCGGTCTCAGAACTTGAAGCTCGTAGTAAGAAGGCTTTAATGGAATTAAGTATAAATTTAAGGAAATTAGGATCAATACCTTTGGAAGTATTTTTTTAAATATTTGACAGCCAAATTCAGCCAATATACTTGTATGGGTCAGAAGTTTGGGGGGTTAAAAGATACGATAGCATTGAAAATGTTCACTTACAAGCATGTAAGATATTTTTAAATGTCGGTCCACAGACACCAAATCCAATAGTATATCGAGAGTGTGGACGGTTTCCAGTATATATTAATGACTACGTTCGAACGATGAAATATTGGCTTAAGTTAATGACAATGCATGATGGACGAATTCCGAAAAAGGCATATAATATGTTATACTACCTAGATACTGCTGGGTACCACACATGGGCGTCTGAGATCCGCCATATACTTTGCTCACACGGCTTTGGATTTGTCTGGTTTTCACAAGCTGTCGGTGATCCGTGCGCTTTTATTCACATTTTTAAAGAACGCTTGATCAATATGTTTTACCAAAATTGGACATCTACTCTTGAAAACAGTTCATGTTATACGTTATATGCAAAATATAAGAGTCTTCTTGAGCCTGATGGGTATCTGTTTTCAAATTTGGAATATCAATTCTGTAAAGTATTGGTCAAATTCAGAGCTGGTGTCTTACGTTTAAAGGAGAATACGAGTCAATTGCAATAATTTGCTGGGTGAAAGATAAAGTCATCAGAAACATATTCCCAAATTTTCAATTTTCAATTATGTATAATTATGTTTTAATCGCGAAAACAGTTTCTGTAAATCTCAGATTCGGCCATTATGCATATTTCGCTGGAACCCACGTGACCTTTCCGCTCGTGACGTCAAATGTGCCTGGCGTCCGCCATATTGCCAAAGAACAAGCGCTACAGTAGTACAAATCGTGTTGTTTCTGTCGTTTTTGTAAATGGTACGATGGTGTATTCTGTTGCCTGGGGATGCACGGAATCATCGAACAATGGAATGCTACCATTTCTTCCGTTTTCCAAGTAATGAGACAGACTTAGGCAGGAGAAATGGTCCGATCATTCCGAGTCGGACGCATATGAAAGAGACATGCACACATGAGGTATGAAAATCCCAAAGCTAGGCTGAAGAAGGAAGAATTACCCACGGGATTCATTTATACTCCATCATTCCCTGTTACAGCTTACTGTAAGTGGTATTTTTAACATAAATTAAATCAAGTACAATGGCCAGTCGAATTGCCCCCGCCACAAATTACCCCAGCAAATTTGGTCAAATTGCCCCAGGGGGGGTAGTCAAAATGCCCCAATTTATTTAAAATGATTAAATATAGGCCATAAATGCATAGTTTTGTCAACTTTGATATTATGTTCTTCATATAAAAGTATATACATAGTTATGAGTTTACTGATGGAACATTTATCAGAAATATTACTTCTTAATAACTTTTATACGAAGAACGTAATATCAAAGTTGACAAAAACTATGCATTTACGGCATATATTTAATCATTTTAAATAAATTTGACCAAATTAGAATGAATGACCAAATTTGCTGGGGCATTTTGTAGCTGGGGCAGTTCCACTGGTACCCATGAGATATATATTATCAAAATCAGTAGGAGATTTCACATGAGCTTGAAAACGTTTCGCTATAACGTTGTTTTCGGTTTGGAACATCTTTTACTGCTTCAGAAATCTATGGACACTGTTAAGTTGTGAGGTAAAAGCAAAGAGGAAGCCATCAGCAACAGGCACATATGACGTCATGTCACGTGATACCCCCTCTGCTCATTAACTGTCGGGTGTTTCCGTAAAAGGCGGAAATACGAGTACGTTTTTTGTGTTTTTATTGCTAGTTTACAAACTTTTTGTCAATTTTAATCACGGAGGGTGACTTATAGAATATCCTTTACAATATATCAAAAGTTTTGTTTTCGTTCGGATTCTCCTTTAAATAATAACGTAGGTAGGTGGCAGAATATTGATGCATCTCAAAGAAATTGTCCTGCATGTAAAGTAGATTTAGAAGATGGATATCACTTTTTGTTGAAATGTCCAGCTTATAAAGATCTTCGGGATAGATTTTTGCCTAAGAATTTGCAAGTAAATATAATATCGTTTAGAAATATCAAACAAAACTGAAGACATAAATAATCTAGCTCTTTTGATCTATTATGCATACAAAATAAGAGAATAGTTAGAAAAATAGAAATAGGTATTAAAATTATTAAACAAAATCCATTTCAGCTATACATGTACATAATTTATATATGTTACTAATATTTTTCACTGGGGGTGTAAGAAAATCTACTCAGGTAGACAGGTAAATGCTTATCTTTTAAGAAATTGTTTCCTGTTTTCATACCTGTTTCGAATATGTATATTAATATGTATATGGGTCTGTGGCCTTCATACGTAATAAAGATTTTGATGATGATAATGCAAACTAGATAACATCACAGAACATTTATTCAACACTGTAACACCATGATGTTACATGTAAATGTGGATGAGTAAATTGAACGAGTGACGTCATCGTTATCAGTTGGTGGTTGTCATCATCCATTGATTGGATATCTCTGCACATTGGGGATCAGTACTTGTGTACCAGTTTACGGTCAATGTTCTCCCATCGACCGGAGCCAAAACTACTGAGCGTGTGTACACATGTGCATGAATGTGACCGAGGTTACGTCAATATCAGTCGGGGAATGCTCTTCTTCGCCACAGCCTTCTTGTTTTCCCGAGCCAGAACCAGCCACTTGGAATGTTACGGAATTTACGGAGTTGTCAGTATGAAATGTGAGTTGATTACATACTGCATGATAAGAAGACATGAAATTTGCATTATTCTGCGTCGGGGGAATATCTTAAGCAATGACTTATGTGCAGATCAACCGTTCCTGTACATGTTCGATTGTTTCGAAAGGACGTGTGTCACCATTTGCAGTCATGAACCCTTGCTAACGTTCCATGTTGTACATTGTTTCAACGAGTGTGTTTTGGTTCTGATTGTCATGGTGACTGTGGTAACTTTGGACTCACATAGAAGCTCGGAGCTGGAAGTGAAAGAATAATCATGTTTATCAGTGAAAAATGTCATCTTCATAAATTCATCAAAGAAACCATGAGACAAATCGATCTCACAATGAACAGGTACTTATCAAAATAACTAGATTCTTGTGATATGGTTTCTGTTCGATTGAAGCACGAGCAACTTATCAGTGAATTTTAATCAGGAAAGTAGTCCGTCATAACCTGACCCTAGGTCATCACCATGGAGTAGCCAATAATGGGATTAGAAATCGATCTGATACATATGTTTGATACCAGTTTTCTCACGTGGGTTTCTCACCCACGGGCGTGTAAGAAATGGACTTCACACACTGTACCCATGTTGGGAATCGGAACCGGGCGAGCGAATGCTTTAAACACTAGGCTACCGGAGGTGAAACTAACTCATTCGTAAGAACGTTCACACCATGCTGGAGAGAAGAATATTTACGGCCAAGAATCCAGCCGATTGAAACATTTGTAGGGTGGGATGTAATTTCAGTACATTTTTCATATTATAGACATCAGCAACGATGACATGTCAGGATGTTCATCTTCGTGCTCAAGATGGGAAGAAGACGTGGGTGTTAAAGTGCTGACAAACGATGACGTAAGGGCCGTTTAAGTATGATACGGCTGCTATTACGGCAAGGCTAGACATTAACTAGCCTCAATTTTCCACCGAAACACGCCCCTAGGCAAAAGAGAGGTGAAACTAATAATTGTGATGACGTCTAGTGTTTATCAGGATAATGATTCCCAGCGTTTGTCAGCATAGATTCTGCATGTGAGTATTCTCACATTGAATTCTGTTGGTTTCACCAAACAAACTATTGAATCCACAGGAGTTCGAATCACTGTTTGGACAATTATTTTCACAAATATAAATATAGACTTCCGTAGTCCCACGGACAGTTTGTGATTTCGATTATTCAGATTTGCATATATAGTTATTATCTAGGAGTTATTTGAATTAGTATCAAAGAGAATTGGAATGCGAATTTTGAATGTGAAGAACACACAACCCCCCAAACCCATCCCCCACTGTACGTGCTGAGCGACAGCATATTTTATGTCCGTTTCAGTCACTGTCGTCAGCAGTAACATGGAGACATAACATTTATACAGAAGGTGAGTGAGTTGGGTTTTACGCCGCTTTTACCAAATTTCTTCAAAATTACGGCGGGTACACCAGATATGGACTCCACACTCTGTACCCACGTGGTAAATACGATAACGGTTTTGGGCATGTTGGTTAACCACTAGACTCCCCTGCCTCCCAGATATTGAACATGAATAAACATATCTTGGTTATACTTATCAGAGGCCAGACAAGAAACGTGGTCTAGATTACCAGTTGTCCGACATCCATTATTGTGGAAGCCGCGATGGCTCAGTGGGTTAGACGGTAGACTTAAATTTGTGTGCTGGCAATTAGGTGCCTGACTCTGAGATTGCGGGACTCTGAGAAAGTATAATCCCAAGTGTAACACCTGTTACGTCTTGATACTCCTTCCATAAACATGATACAACACCGAATAAAACTGATACTTTCACAGGAATATTTCATTTTATTTCCCCACACATATAAACACTTATCAACAGAAAGATTTATTACGTTGATCGATCATCATGTGTTATGAAAATATAATATCCAATTCGCTCAAACCTTCAATTTACAAATATAATTCAGACATAGAAGACATTGTTTATTTAATTATATTAAATTCAGTCCTAGTGTACTCCCACCATTTGAATTCAAATAATCGAAAACACCTCAACCGAAGTTCTTTCGAACTGAAAATTGTCTCAGACAAGCCTGCTGCGCTACGTTGTACTCGGAGAACGGGCATAACTTGTGGTGCTGACCACACCCCATCATCTCTGCTGTATCCCCAATACACGTGTGGACGGGGATGAAGCTCCGCACGCACACTCTGCGCCTCTGTCGAAGGTTGTTCGTACAAGGTGACCAGCTTGACCACAGCATCCATGTCCCGAAGGACATGTGTGGGAACATTGTGCACGACCTCTGCTCCATGTCGGGACCCATACATTTGCTGTATCCGAAGATGCACTTCCGTTGACGATGCTGCATGCCGTTGATGCACGGTGACCACATAGACCACATGGTCCAGAGAGGACGGACTTCCCTCCAGTAGGTCAGGTCAAGCTCTGGTAGGTCTGTGCATCGGACCAGTGGGTTGTGGCTGTAAAAACACGTGAATTAATACGTCCATAGCAACAGTGCAGCGCCGGAGATCACCGAAAATGGTGATATGGTCGACCTATGGTTTTGTGCGTGAAGCAAACTATCCCTTAAAGCATAAGTACATGTGTTGGCTATTCCAGCAGTTATCGAATGATACCCCCAAATCCCATTAGTTCAGTTACTAAGTTCCGCACCAAAGCCCCAGTAAATGCAAAACCGAAATTGTCCGAAGCCCTTGTGAGTCTGTTGATTGACTCACTCATCATCCCTTGTCAGTGAAAGACTCCTGTCATTTCATGTCATCCGTGGGTATTTTACACCTTATCGTAAGTGCCTAACACCCTCAAGCCCTAACAAGTGACATACTAACGACTATCCAGTGTCATCTAGTCACTAGTCCCAAACCCCTGGACTCCAGAAAGACCACCGATTGGTCCGGTAAGAAATCAACTACCAATCAGCTTTGCGGTCCAACTTACATGAAGTCCGGCACTCTGAAAGCGCTGGGCTGGATGAGAGGCATGTATGCATTGTCACAGATCACCCTGGCCAGAGAGGCAGAGCGGAGAGAGTGGAGCTGACCTGAAACAATATAAATACATTAATAAGTGCAGAGCAATGAAACAGGAACAAAAATAATACATTCTAGGTTGCGACGTACCTGCGCATGTGAAGTCGGTTATATATCGCTTGCTTAGATAGAACTCTCATAATCTGAAAAACTGTGAAATCTGTCTTTGAACTGTCTGAAATAACACGTAACTCCACATTTGTGGCAGTAATCAGTTAATCTGGTATTATTTCTATATATCTGAAGCGATTTACGTTCAGTAGAGTTGTGTTTCAACTTCTCTCCTAAACCTAGGTTAGCCTGGAGGTTCAGGGATTTGTTTCTTACAAAGCGTTCGTAGCGTTACGACCTTTCGTAACTCCATACTTTCTCATAGGCCAACGAATGCCGTAGTCCCACGGACAGTTAGGGTGAGTTGGCTCGAATTTGGTATTTTTCTTATTCCCATCATATAGTGACGTTCGCTCAATGCAGCATTCGATCATGACTCCCCTCCCAATAATAAATGACCAGGCCATACATAATGGTCATTTTTACAACTCTTTGTCACTCATCTTTTCCGGTGACCCCGAACTTACCCACCACCAGAAACAGTTGACGTTGACCCCTTCCCCAACTCGTTTCGTCTCTTTGCATGACCCCTTTCTTCGTATCTCCTCCCCACATCTCCTCTCCCCGTTCCTACAGATGTGTCATATTATACGGCGAAGTACATTGGATTGTCGGGGTCTTTGCCTGTTGTAGTGGCATGAAACAGGGTACACGTATATGAATGCGTGAACGAAGACACTACATCCTAATGCCTCACCTATAGAGAAGCGGACTGGCTCCAACCCTGTCTCGTACCAAAACCTGTCCCCTTCTTTGAGGAGCTGGAACTGAGTGCCAATGATGCATGCAACAGTTGGTCCGACCACACCTCCAGGGAGGGGGCGTTCACTGATGGCACCGGGGAATAGGTCGATGTCGTCAGGGTGACTGAAATCAGGGAACTACAAGTTATCTTCTGCAAGACAGGGTTTGGTTGCTTGGCAACCTCATCTGTATGCTACCACAGCGCATAGATGTGTACAAGCATATAGCGCACCTTAAAACATTAAAGAGATATTTACATGACATCATGTAAAACGTTGGGTGGGTAGATCAGTAGTTCGAGCTTTTGTTCTTGAAGCTGAAGTCCACCAATGGTTAATAGGTTTAATAGGTGTTCTCATTAACTTCCATACACAAGGTTTATGCTGAAAGAGCTAACATTATCACCCCGGTCAGTGGAGGCCTGTGAGGTGCAAGAACGTTAACAGGTACAAGACAGTTCGATGCCACCTGGCAGCCCTATACTACCGAACAGAGACAATTTCCAAAATACAATGTAGTCCCTTGCCAAACGTGAGACCACCTGTGTGTACATGTGCTTTGATGTGGGGCAGGCCTGAAGTCTTAGAAAGTCTCAGGCGTCAAGGCACCAAACATGGTCACCCATCCAAAGTATTTCTTGAACATTGCTAAATGTCATAAAATCTCAATCACGCAATGAAGTATAGGTTGCATTACGCGCCAAACATCTGAAAATGTACTACAGGATCACCCACGAGAAAGAATGCATAGACACATGCTTATAATATGTAGTTGCAATTGTAAAACATTCTACAGTTGCTTTGGAAATGGTTTGGTCACTTTATTTACAATCAAATGCTTCTACTGAAATGAGCAATGATCTACCTGTACAAAGTCCCGAGTATTTGAGCAGAATCTGGTGGATGATCTATAAGTCCACCACTTCCGGTTCCAAAATGGTCAGCCTCAGGCAGCTTGCACCATCTCCTCCAGGCGTTGTATCCTGGCAGACCATGATCCCGCCCTCTCTGGATGTTCAGGGATGCCAAGTCCAGACTGTTACCATCCTTGTCCAAGAACAAGTTATCTGTCACATCCGGTGTGATGAAACGGTCAAACGTTCTGGAGTGATCCCTGGTCATCCCGCCAATCAGCCACGGGATGGACTGACCTCTTGTGTCCAAGATGAAAGACGTGTTTCCGAACAGAGATTTCAAGGTCGCTTGTCCAGATATCGAGAAGGGTGACGCCAGCTCGGAGAACGTCCCGCGGATGAGAGTATGTCCTAGACGATAGGCTGCGGTTGCAAAAGCGCTTCTGATGCTGGGGTCAGTGTTGTCTTTGTAGACGTTGTGATACCCCCACTGGCTTGAGTCAAGGTTGAAGTATTTTGTGGTGGGCTTGTTGAGGAGGACTGGGAGAAACTCATCATATGTGATCTTCTGGATCATAGCTCCAATGATCTTCCTAGCTTCCTGGAAGATCCGCTCATCTCCCCAGTGAGGGTTAAGTCGGTTCAGGATACGGCAGATTCGGTTGTGTTCTCTCATCCATATTGTATGAAGGCTGGTCAGCCCCATTTGTTCATTAACTCGCTCATCGCCTGATGAAATACATTGGACATTTGATAAATGATCTCAATTGAATATATGCGTATATCCTCCACTGAATTAATATTTGGAAAATAATATTCAATTATATTTTAATATTTTACTGTCGTGAACAAATCTTTATTTTGTATTCAAAACATCTAACCATAAAGGATTGCTGCAGTAGCTCTACTGGCTGCGCATTGATGCACAATTAGTCACATGTCAATAACGAAATGTTAATATATCTACATTGCTATTTAATGCAATATCCAAGTCAATCCTATGTTTTTTTAAAACGTTATGTACGTTCAGATATAATTTATATTTAAGATTGACTTCATTGTCCTTTGTAGGGTATAAGCACAAAACCTACAAACATAAAAATCAAATTGAAGTTAATCTTTGAAATAGATATGACTACAATATTCTGTTTTTCAGCCATTAACCAAGGAGCAGTACACACAATCAGTGACACTATTCAGTGAGATAAAACGCCTTAGGAAGCACACATAAAATCGCAAGGCTTATTTTTCGTTTGCGAAATATGCATTACGCGCACTTAAAATCTCCAAATCGTCGTCGTCGTCATCATCATCATCATCATCATCATCATCATCATCATCATCATCATCATCATCATCATCATCATCATCATCATCACCGGGTCTATTCTTATTTGAGTCATACCTACCTGCCAGGAAGCAGAAGTGCTGTGGTTTGTCAGGAATGCAGTTTTTCATCTTTGATTCTGGCAGAAGCTGCAGATCGTGAACCTTGAACAGGCCTGCAAACCATGAGATGAGCCGTACTATATAAGTACATAGTGTTATAGTTGTTAAACTCTCCGTTGTCAGACAAGGCATACTACTGATGTTTATGAAACAAATTGCAGTTTCGAGTTACTGGTTGATGACAGTTAACTGTTTTTCACTGGCAACATCACACATTACCACACAAAATCTAAATACTTGAAGGAAATCAGAACGTAAATAATGATATAACAGAATCGAAGAGAGCGGATACTCTGTAATACAGAATCATACTCTTGTCACAGCACTAGTACCTAAAACCTGCCAGTAACCCAACCCCTACCCCAAAGGAAGTAATAACGCGACGGCCTCAGCGTAAACAGGTAATTTTGAGAGTCCACAGTGCCAGTACACCTTTGCAATTGGGGGCGATAGTTTAGCGTGGCACTTTGGTTAAAGCGTTTTCTCGTCAGTGTCATCACGCCGAAGACTCGGGTTCGATTCCCCACATCTGTACATACATGATGTTGCTGGAATAGTGCTAAAACTAACTCACTTACTAACTCACCTTTGTGATGCAGTCTGAGTTGATCTTGTTCTTTCCTTGTAGATCCATACACCTGAGACCCGTCGATGAAGGCGGTGATCTGGTTCAACTGCTCCACCGGTTCTGTCATAGACACAATAGCTAGGTATACAACATGTAACAATAATATCCCAGTCTGTTTAACACTGCCTGAACAGCCTTTCCTTTCCGCCCAGCCCTTTCTGCAAGTCCTAAATGAAGCAAGTCAAGATTTTCCTCAGCATACTGGGGCCTCTTTTCCAGGTAAATGGAGTTACTTGTTTCTGTCAAAATCCTAAGTATTCAGAGAGGAAGCATTTGTCTATAATTATCCTAAATATAAGGCTGTTTGATCATAGTTTTTCCTGTTCTTTTGATAGATTTTAAGGCCGCCATACATGGTCTGAAGTACACAATCACCGCGTGTACATGTGGGGATTCGAACCCAGGAACTCTAACCTCTGGTGTACCTAACCGTGTCTGTTTAATGTAGATGCAGATATGAATATTCATGACATATATTTACATACTGGTTTAGAAAGATACAACAGCATTTGTTATTCCATGTGACCAAATGTGGATTGACAAATCTTACCAAACTGGCAGTCGGCATTAACAACCTGTATGGAGCGTACGAAGTTGAGGCACGTCCTGTTCCGGAACTTGGGGTCGTTGGGCGGAATGGGGATGGGAAAACAGACATCCCTGCAACAGAAAAGTTTCATTTTTCATCGACAATGTGCCATAAATATATCAAATAAATTCACTGCTTTGTCAAGACAACAACGTAAAGTGTACGAGTTCATTTTAAGATATGAAAACAATATAGGCCAACTGGTGTTGACTAAAATCCTATCAACACATCATGCACATCTCATGTCTCTTAATTATGAATCATATTGTCCACATGTACAGACCGATCAGTGCTTGTTGGGATATGTTTATGTGTGACGCTCTACACACCTTCGTGACCTTTCACTACTTATGCTGAATATATCTTACCTTATCTTGGAATATTTACCTGTAGCCAGTTATATATTACTATACATGATTGCACCTCTGGGAATTCCCGGTTCGAACTTGTAACCCTTGTACGGAAGAGGCGACCGTATGGATCAAGTGGCCAAATTTATTTATTTATTTTTTTTTTTTTGTTATTGTTCCCAATGTGATGAGCACAAAAACATGATGAGAATAAGCATATAGAGGAATGTGTGCATATACAAGCTAGTGGGCTCAATAGCGATATAGTACACTAAGTGCATTGAATATCAATATCAGTGATATGTTCTTTGTTTAATAGTCATTCAGGGTTAAATTCAGGGATGAGAGGAAACCATTTGACTAAAAAGCTTTCAACATTATTATTTCTTCTGGCGATGAATGATTCAGTGGTAAATATGTCTTTCAATATCCTTAAGTAATTATCAACTTTTGGAATTGTTTTTGTCAAAGAGCAAGTGTAAATATATCTCTTAGCAGATAAGATTATGTGGTTCAATAATGGGTTCTTACCTAAAAACCCAAACCAAATCAAAGATTTTGTCAAATTAAGTGTTTGGATACGTTTCGTAATCCACTGTTCAAGTTTCTCTGGAAGTGGCCAAATTGGTTAATGGCATGGCATCGTGCCAATCGATAGTTGTTCATAATATCAATCACTGGAATGTCTGGTCCAGACTCGAATATTTACGAGATATTGCTAACAAAACAAAAACACAAACCTGTCTGCGATCTTTTTGACAATGTCTGCGGAGGTGCCTGGCGGGAGGTCATCAATACAACATCTGACAATGGAACCATTCAGCCCTGCAATGGCAGCGTTAAAAGGGATATATCAAGTGTTGGCGGTGTCTCCTGGGCCGATGTTTCCTCTCAATAAGTTACGTGATGTCCATTAACGGGAACATTAACTGAAGGTGAGCATAAACTGACATACCTGTGTGTATTGGTGTACTGGTGATGTCGTGGTGTATAAACTGACCTACCTGTGTGTATTGGTGTACTGGTGATGTCGTGGTCAACAAACTGACCTACCTGTGTGTATTGGTGTACTGGTGATGTCGTGGTCAACAAACTGACCTACCTGTGTGTATTGGTGTACTGGTGATGTCGTGGTCAACAAACTGACCTACCTGTGTGCATTGGTGTACTGGTGATGTCGTGGTCAACAAACTGACCTACCGGTGTGTATTGGTGTACTGGTGATGTCGTGGTCAACAAACTGACCTACCTGTGTGTATTGGTGTACTGGTGATGTCGTGGTCAACAAACTGACCTACCTGTGTGTATTGGTGTACTGGTGATGTCGTGGTCAACAAACTGACCTACCTGTGTGTATTGGTGTACTGGTGATGTCGTGGTGTATAAACTGACCTACCAGTGTGTATTGGTGTACTGGTGATGTCGTGGTCAACAAACTGACCTACCTGTGTGTATTGGTGTACTGGTGATGTCGTGGTGTATAAACTGACCTACCAGTGTGTATTGGTGTACTGGTGATGTCGTGGTCAACAAACTGACCTACCAGTGTGTATTGGTGTACTGGTGATGTCGTGGTGTATAAACTGACCTACCTGTGTGTATTGTACTGGTATGTCGTGGTCAACAAACTGACCTACCTGTGTGTATTGGTGTACTGGTGATGTCGTGGTGTTTATACTGACCTACCAGTGTGTATTGGTGTACTGGTGATGTCGTGGTGTATAAACTGACCTACCAGTGTGTATTGGTATACTGGTGATGTCGTGGTCAACAAACTGACCTACCTGTGTGCATTGGTATACTGGTGATGTCGTGGTCAACAAACTGACCTACCTGTGTGTTGGTATACTGGTGATGTCGTGGTGTATAAACTGACCTACCAGTGTGTGTATTGGTGTACTGGTGATGTCGTGGTGTATAAACTGACCTACCAGTGTGTATTGATGTACTGGTGATGTCGTGGTGTATAAACTGACCTACCTGTGTGTATTGGTGTACTGGTGATGTCGTGGTCAACAAACTGACCTACCTGTGTGTATTGGTGTACTGGTGATGTCGTGGTCAACAAACTGACCTACCTGTGTGTATTGGTGTACTGGTGATGTCGTGGTGTATAAACTGACCTACCAGTGTGTATTGGTGTACTGGTGATGTCGTGGTGTATAAACTGACCTACCAGTGTGTATTGGTGTACTGGTGATGTCGTGGTCAATAAACTGACCTACCTGTGTGTATTGGTGTACTGGTGATGTCGTGGTCAACAAACTGACCTACCTGTGTGTATTGGTATACTGGTGATGTCGTGGTCAACAAACTGACCTACCTGTGTGTGTGTATTGGTGTACTGGTGATGTCGTGGTGTATAAACTGACCTACCTGTGTGTATTGGTGTACTGGTGATGTCGTGGTGTATAAACTGACCTACCAGTGTGTATTGGTGTACTGGTGATGTCGTGGTCAACAAACTGACCTACCTGTGTGTATTGGTGTACTGGTGATGTCGTGGTGTATAAACTGACCTACCAGTGTGTATTGGTATACTGGTGATGTCGTGGTGTATAAACTGACCTACCTGTGTGTATTGGTGTACTGGTGATGTCGTGGTCAATAAACTGACCTACCTGTGTGTATTGGTGTACTGGTGATGTCGTGGTCAATAAACTAACCTACCAGTGTGTATTGGTGTACTGGTGATGTCGTGGTGTATAAACTGACCTACCTGTGTGTATATTGGTGTACTGGTGATGTCGTGGTGTATAAACTGACCTACCAGTGTGTATTGGTGTACTGGTGATGTCGTGGTGTATAAACTGACCTACCTGTGTGTATTGGTGTACTGGTGATGTCGTGGTGTATAAACTGACCTACCTGTGTGTATTGGTGTACTGGTGATGTCGTGGTGTATAAACTGACCTACCAGTGTGTATTGGTGTACTGGTGATGTCATGGTGTATAAACTGACCTACCAGTGTGTATTGGTGTACTGGTGATGTCGTGGTGTATAAACTGACCTACCAGTGTGTATTGGTGTACTGGTGATGTCGTGGTCAACAAACTGACCCCACTGCATCACAATGTGACTCATGGATGGGGAATCGGGGACGTTCTCGTCACTGGCGTGGAGGGTGTGACTCACGAGGCGAGGGTTCGGGAGGGGAGAACCATCTCGTCCACGGGCCCGTGGCTTTGACACACCTGTTCATACAAAAATAACCTTAAGCAAAGTTTATATGAAAAGTTGGTTTAACATAAACTGCAGGCCAAAAGAAGTAATCACGTGAATATTGGATTTGCCCAAAACTTAACTTGGCTTAAAACAGTCGTATACCAGTGTCAGATAAATACATCACCGTTTGGTGTATTCAATCATGGGTGTATACCTTCTTTTAACCGGCAGTTACGGATTCTATATATGGATACTCTGTTCTTGCTGTACCCTGCACAAAGGTAGGACAATAGTCTATATATCTATTCTATGTTACATTGTTGCACTTGAATCAACAGAATGATTAATAAGAAGGCGATATTAACGGTCTGTATCATCTGTGGGTAAAGGGATGACTTTGGGGCGAACTCACAACACTAGATTCACGTCTTGCTGGTTCTAGACACTATGTTTGGAAAGAAGGATACATAATGGCTTGTATAAAGTGGTCACATGTAACATATGTTATTGGAAAGTAGTTGTAAATTCTAAATTGGATACTGTATGAGTATTCATCATGCAATGTATTTCAGAGTAAACATCACAGAGAACATGAGAGTTTCGGAAAGTGCAGTACATCAACAATAACAATTCACATATTGAATGTTCTTTGTAAACAGTCTACATTCTTCGCATTCGTTCATTACCTCGTGCAGGCTTTTTTCTAAAGTTTAGGTTCTGAAATTCATTATGAATACATCCTGAAAATGGGTCTTATCTGGAGAATAAATATTGTCTACAAAAGAAAAGAGCATAGCTTACGTCAAAGGTTACTTTCGCCGATTGTGATTTCTTCCGAGCTTTTTGACATAACGAAGATAAGTAACAGAAAAAACAGACAACTGAGTTCTATTGTATTCTTGGGGTGTGTGATTTTTTCTAATAACCCGAGTGTCAAGTAAATAAAACAAAATGCCATAGTACCATCATCGTATTGTGGAGGCATGAACCTTCTGAAAGGGGTGAAGGACTTCCCCCATCTTGGATGCTTGAAGTTATTGCAACTCCCGTCAGATTCACGGAAACGAGACTTCGGGTCACACGTGACCACCTCGTCGGTCGGACATTTTCCCACGTCTTGGAAAAAGTCTCTGAAGTCAGAATCGCTCTCCGAAAAGAAATCCCGCAGTTCCGAGAGGACATCAGACCGACTCGAGTTGACAAAAGTGGGGCTGTGAAATCAAACGTCATTTCAAGCATCTGAATATATGTATAATATAATGTCTATTTCTTACGTTTCCTTCAAACGTATACTCATGGAAATAAGTAAGGGAACGTATAAATGGAAGCATATGTATACAATTCATTTCTTATTTCATTAATATTTATGCGTGAAGCCCAGTTCTGCAGCCAGAAAAAAACTTAAATGAAAGAGAACACCCGACCAGCATAAAATATTTTGCAAAGGACAGACATTTAAAAGGCATTTAAAAATCCCAGAGGCTTCAAATACTCTTTGAGAACATTCATCTTCAGTCAGAAATGAATCTTTGGAAAAAATGTTTGGGCATTTTTTTCGTGTAAGCCCGATAGGTTACAAAGCTTTATATTTAGGGCTTACCGAACCTTTTTAGCCAAAATCATGTGTAAGCCCGGGCTTTTGTTATAATGGTAGCTACGCCCCTGGTTACCTGTTGGAGACAGCTTTAATGGCGTATATCCTTTGTCTCTCTGTGATGCCGAGTCTCACAGCCTCGGCCTTGGTGTTGATTACCATCGAATGAAGGGCGATAGCAGAAGATCCGCCGAAGAAATCAACGCCTGTGGATAGAACAAAGATGAATATTGATCTGAACTGGTAGGCAGATAGGTATAGGCTTGAAAAATGACCCAAAAAAGCTACAAACGTTGTCAAAACGTTATTCGGATGAAAACCCTTACTGAAACACAATGTCTAACTACTTGTATAATACCCGTATCGAGTATACCAGGGGCGTAACCATTATTAAAAAAACCCCGGGTTTACACCTGATTTTTGCTAAAAAGGTTGGGCAAGCCCTCAATACTATCTAAATATACAGCTTTGCAACCTAACGGGCTTACGCGAAAAAGAATGGCTTGCTACGCGCCTGTATACCATTATCAAATAACCATTTTGAGTTTATTTCATTTGTAGCAACCATTAAATATGGTTGTGGACTGTCTTTGCCTGGCAGTTAATTTACCCTCGTACAAGGTGCTGTAAACCACAGTTATAGAGAAGGCTTATGTTAGTTCGTTATAACAGTAGTTCGTAATAAGTTTACATTGTCAGATACATTTCAAATCAAGTCACATGACTTGAAAACCACTTACTCTTAAATGTCACAAAAACAAAGGAACTGATAATTGACTTTCGGAGTAAACCCACAGAAATGCTTCCAGTGATAATCAACGGTGAATGTGTTGAGACAGTGTCGGAGTATAAGTATCTGGGAACCTTCATTGACTCTAAGCTGAACTGGTACTCTAACACTGAAGCCCTATACAAAAAGTGTCAACAACGTCTTCATCTCATGCGTAAACTGAGATCTTTTAATGTTAACCCATCTGTGATGTCATCTTTTTATGTAGCATTTATTCAGAGTATTTTAACATTTTCCTTCCATTGTTGGTACGGGTCTCTCTCAGTTCATCTCAAATCTAAAATAGACAAAATTGTTAACACTGCAAGTAAAATCGCTGGAGTCAGATTTGAATGTTTATCATCAATATATGAGCGGCAAATCGTGAATCAAGCTGTCAAAATCATATCTGACCGTACTCACTACTTAAATTCGGAATACAACCTCCTCCCTTCAGGCCGCCGATACAAAGTTCCAATTGTGAAAACTAAGAGAGCCCGTACATCCTTTATTCCAAGTACCATATCTCTCTTAAACAAATGTGAAGATACCTAAATCAAAGAATTTATGTAAATATGTTTGCTATCTCTCTAATGTGTCAGTAGCTCTGCTGATGTAACACAAATTCCTGAAAAGGCATTAAAGTATTATTCTATTCTATTCTACATGTTCATTCATTTTATGAATGACATAAAAGACATAGCATTAGGGAATACATGACGTAGTTATAAAAATGTATTGGATACATTTTTATTTGCATGAGTCACATATACGAGTACGTACTGCCACTGATGCTGCGAAACATCTGAAATTAGTAACAGGGCATCGTGCCTGATTGTTAATTATTAATAATCAATTAATTTATGCAAAAAGTGTCACAATAACTAACCTGTTTCAAAAAAGGTTTGGTCGTCCAGACCGAGACGTCTGATGGCATCGTCCAGTTCCTTCTCAAAGGCGAAGATTGGCGACTCCAGGGATGTGAACATGTTGTCCAGGTTGGCGTCACTTTGAGACGCCGAGCTGATGTTGTCGGGATTGTGTTTCTGATCCAAACCATCAGCATTCTGAGTTCGTGTCACTCCTATGGCACATATAAAAAGTGCAACACGGACCAAAAGATGTCCCATGCGATGTCCCATACTCTTCGTGCAAGGTTCCTTTACAGGTTCAAGTTTTCTGGTATGAAAGGTTCCCCGGTCAGCACCTTATCCACCAGTACCAGGTTTCAACCTCTTCACAAAAGTACTGTAAAAGAATTACTTCTCGATCCAGGCACGGCTTTCACAAACGTAACTGATCAGGAAACAAAATCGTGAATATGCAAAGATTCAGATCTAAGCATCCACTCTTCCTCATCATCTGGGGGCGATCACACACCTGTGAACAGGAAGGGCCGGAATATGTGGCGTAAAAACAATATTTCTCTAAACATGATTGGAAAATAGTTATATACCTCTTTTCTGCAATATTCAACTACATGGCTGCGTGAAACACCAGAAATGGGCTTCACGCACTACACCTGTGTGGGCCTCGACTCTCGGGCCTTCGGTGTAGCGGGAAAACCACAGGCCTATCCAACACCCCATGTCCCGATGAAATCTACCTGTTTGCATATAGATATAATACAAACGCTTAAGACCACATGAAAAAAGGATTATGAATTTAACAAAATAGCATAAATCTTAAATAAGTCAAACCGTACCACAGATGGCTAATACGGCTCGTCCAAACATCACACCTTGTCGCTAACCCTGTACAGGTAATATATAAGTGTTTAAGCTGGATGGAGGTCCGGGGGATGCTACAGGTGGTCTCCTAACGCCATAGCACCTGGCTGAAGACGCCAGTTAAACCTGCGTCATGTATAGGGATGAAGATGGCCCTGTTTGATGGCTATCTAATTGCCCGTATCGCCCATGGTGGTGACACTTCCGGGATTTATGTCCCGAATGTAACGAAACCGAAGTGGTGTACCGCGTTTGATCATAATGCAGTTGACACATTTATTCCATGACCACTATTATCATTTATTGGCGACCATTTAGTTATAAAGTCAGTTTGTTGTGGGAGTGTGCAGACTGACTGACTGACTGAGTTTGATTTTACGCCGCTTTTAGCAATATTCCAGCAACGCACGGCGCACCAAAATTTCAGCAATATTCCAGCAACGTCACGGCGAAGATATTTGGTGTACGCAAAAGTAGGACGTATAAATGAAACATATACTTTTTTTTCGCGCATGTTAGACAACTACTTGGCCGCCCTAAGTAGTTTTACAGAGCCAGGCAACTTGACCTTGTTGTTACGGCTTAATGCCGGAGCAGGGTATAGCCTAGTAGAGACAAATAACATCTTTATATTTTGATTTCTCTCGTTAAACGTGCATTATACGCAGAGAGCAGAGTAAAGTTAACACACTATCAAATACATGAAGATATACGTATCGAGAGTTGTTTAGTCTTATAATGGAGGAAATTTGGGTGAAGCAAACTAGGTAATTCTTTGTGAGGAAGTATGTGCTTTGATGGGAACTGTGTGTGCTAATCAATACCACAGTGCATGCGGACCAGAGCGAGCTTGCATTTTATATATTACAAGAGAAGTTCATATACATAAAAGAGTACTAAGGGAGACATTATTAACTTGCTACTCGCTGTCCGTTAGCGGTCGAATGTTATAAAAGTAATAACTGAAAAATGCATGTTATAGTACAACATAGTACTTGACCGACTGTCCCTGTATATAAAACGGACCACTTCAATATTTATCAGTAGGGAGTGAAAATAGAACAGACAGTGCTTTGATGTCGGAATTGTTATTCGTGACACGTGAATAGTTTAAAACAATTAATTTTATATAGAGAGAGCATATTCCCACACACTTAGCAAGTTCGCGACGGAATCCATATACTTCATGGAAGAAATCTCCAGGATAGTGACCCCCCTTCCCGCCATCGTCACGTCCCTACTTGACTGTTGTGAAGATATGAGTGAGTGAGTGAGTTGGGTTTTTACGCCGCTTGTAGCAATATTCCAGCCATATAACGGCGGGGAATACCAGAAATGGGCTTCACATATTGTACCCATGTGGGGAATAGAACACGGGTCTTCAGCGTGACGAGCGAACGCTTTACCCACGAGGCTACCCCACCGCCCCTGAAGATATGAAGACAACCCAAATAAATAATCTCATTCTCAAGCAAAAAACAGCAGTTGCCTTATTCTCCTTTCAAGCTGCTAAACCATATTTACAGAAACCGATCTCACCCATTTTCATCCATTGGTCTTCACGATATTAATTTTAATGACGGGGTAAATAAACTAAGGTAAAAACACATAAGGGGTTATATAATAATATCAGATTTATCCAATTGTGGAAACGTGTTGGCCATATGTATTTAGAGATTCCGTCGATATTAATATATGAAAATTGGAGAAATGATTTGAGCAAATTGAAATATTCTGACATTTGAATAACCTGTGCATGTGCCCTCCACTGTGACATTTACCCTGTGCGTTTCCTATATAATGGCTGACGGGGTGTGACCGACCGGTGTTTATTGATATAGGGCACCACCTACAGACTGCAGGGTACAGTCAGCTTCTCACACATCCCACGCTGTGATTACACATTAAAACCTGGAAACGGCCATAAAAGGAATCAAATGTACATAAAGTAAATTCATGCTACATACATTCCCACATATATTACAAATCTACAGATGTCAAGACGGTTTAAATATCAGTCTTCGTGAATCTGTTTTAATTAAACCAATAAATTACACGCTGTAATAGGAAATGTTACATTTGAAGGTATGGTAAAGGATTTTTCCCAAACATTTCAAATGTGCTTATAACATACGTGAAATAGTTTGTGAGGCTGCTTTTGAAATCCAAGTAAACCCAAGCAACGTTTTAACTGAGGGTCAAAAGGAAATATGCCGAGTTCTGTTTTTACCTACATTAACTGAAAATTGAATGAACTGTGTTAAATGTTAAATTTGATTATGTCTGTTTAACCATCACTTCTTCGTGTCTGTAAAAACAAAGCTGAGGTTGTTTAAGTTTGTGTAAAAATATATTGTTTAATGTAAACTGATGTCAGAAATCTGTTTGCAACAACATAACCCATTCTATGTATTAAATGTAAAAAATGTCCTAAAAAAGCGAACTTCTCAAGGATAAGATTATCCAAGATACCCATCAGATGTTGTATTTTATTATAGGAAATGTATGCATTTATTTTAATTTTATGATCAACTGTTTGTCAAAACCTTGGAAACTTGAACCATGAGACATCAGATCATAGTTTCAATTCAATTCATTTTCAGAGCAGACAAATGAAATTTCGTCCTTGACTTTTCGTGTTTTGAGGGGCACATATTCCACGGGCTATTATTACACACAACACCGCCCGCCAAGATGGTGAATGTTATGAAAGGCGTGTTGGTCGAGTGCGACCCGGCGATGAAACAGTTCCTGCTACATTTGGACGATACCAACGCTTTGGGAAGAAGTTTGTGTTACAAGACCTAGACGACACTCATATGTTTATTTCGGCGGATATTGTTGAAATATTACAGGACAAAATTGATGACTTAATGGACAGACTATCGTTCCCTCTGGCGGAGAAGTGAACTGTTTTCTGTGCCCATATCACGTATTTCAGAAATCTTTCCCGAAACAAAACCGTGTCTGTGTCTGGTTCATATCATTAATTGTACAGGGTTAGCACTAATACGAAGTTGGATTGTATTTTAATTCACGAAGGCGTTCGCAAGCTCAGAAGAGGAGGGGAAGTAACTCTGGTATGTTATATGTGACAAAACAGTTTCACCTGTTCAATCTGAGAGTGTGTAGAGAGGTCTAAAATGTCAAAACCTAAAATTATGACTGTCAAGATTTGAGTTCACAACAACATGTACTAGCCGCCAGTTACCGACATTTGCAGTGCTATTAATGAAGTATTGAATTAAAGAATTAAACTATAATTAATAGTTTATCTTATTGTCAGATTTTGCTTGTCCCCAAAGAGAGGTATCAATTCAAAGCAGTTAGTATTGAGTTACTGGAAATAGAACATTCCTGCAGACTAACAATGCTAACTGGGTAAGACTTCCGCTCATATCCGGGTAAGACTTCCGCTCATATCCCCCCTAAGTTTTAACGATAAGGAAAAATTCTTTGAGTGGCATTTTTAGAAGTTGAATATGTCTTTCAGTATGTTCAGATATAATTAAAGAAACATGTTAAAACTCATCCTTATCAGATGAGGGATATATACTCAGGTGACATTATTTGGCTAGAATGAAATTTAATGGGGGATGCGAGTGGAAGTCTTTCCATGAAATGAGCAACAGCAAAAGAAGACATGTTTGTGCAAGTACCGTCACAGGTTGTTGGCAATAATTAGTCCGTGACCGCAGTTGTTCATGACTCAGGTGACCAACAAATACTTTTCTTTTATGAATCTTTGTTCAGTTGAATCATGTTGATGGGTGCTTGCTAAAGTCATTAAAAATAATTGAAATCTAATAATGGAATCTCTAGAACTGAAAAGTTAATGGATTGTTTCTACTATCTCCAATGGGTTGTGTATGTTCCAGCTTGATGGAGACCCAGACCTCAGTCTGGCAGTGGAGACCCCAGAAGAGGCCACGAGACATACGAGACCAGTTCTTTGAGGACGGCGACCGATTCTGTTGTTACTCCGTCAAACAGTTGCCCCAGGAGACAGACAAAGAGGACAGCAAGAGGTGAGTGGGAACAACTTTGCAGGAAAAGTAAATAAAATAATTAATAAGGTTATACTGACAGTGCACCCCACAGATACCAACAGTGACCGGTAGTCTGACTGTGTTTTTAGAAGTGGATAAGATAGAATAATAAGAAAGGTATGATCATGATGATACTTATGGATGACATATGATGAAATGTTTTGGTATAGATTCTTGTACCGTTGTCAGTAGTGATGTTCCGATGATTGAAAATAATCGAAAATCAATCGAAAGAAGGATTAAAAATGATTATTGATTGTAAAAAACATATTTTTGATTAATCAGAATTTTGTTGTTTTTGTATAACACCCTTGAATGAAGTAAACTAACCATCACATTTGACGAATATTCACGAACAAACATCGATCAACAGTGTAAAGCTATGCACATTGTAAATTTTTAACCACTTTTATTGTTTAATTACAATTCCAGTGTCTTTCTTGCATGCGTGCATTTCATTGCATGACAGCATTAGTTATAAAAAACCATGAATTAGAAAAAAACTGGGAAAACCCTTAAAATTGGTGATTCCATTAAAAATGTATATATTTCGATTGTAATCGATAATTGTTCACCACAATCCTCCGATAATCGATAGTGGATTTGGTTTCCGATTCCCAACACTAGTTGTCAGGAGCTCTATACCGAAATGTCGCTGCTCATGCATCACAGTGTGACATCATGTCATACTATTCTGTCAGTCTCATGACAGACTGAGGAAATAGCTTGAGCTAGGGAAACCACTTTATGTCTATTGTGAGATACACTTCACCCAACATACACTAACATTGAACACAACTGATGATAACCCTCCATGTCAACTGACAGCATTTTGTTTTCTTAAACTGGATGATAACAAAAATAATTCTGAAAGTGGTTCATAGCAAGATGTCTGTGTTAAGCATCTTTTGTTTAAAGGTTACCATGTTTACTGTGTACTGAACATTTGTAGAGAGCATCACACATATTTAGGGGTAACTATTGAGGGAGAAACAGCTATTGCAAGTTACTATTGCGATAGCGATAGTCTATTGCAACCAACTATTGCAATACTATTGCAAGAGTTTTTTTCTCCTTGAATTGTCTCATTGAAGTCATTTCCCAAATGAATGTATAGTTTATATGAAATACTAACATGTTGAAGTAGTCTCAGTCTCTTTTGATACTGACAAGAAACTTCAAACAAGTTTGTTTAAGAGTGAGTGAGTTCAGTTTTACGCCGCTTTTAACAATATTCCAGCTATATCACAGCGGGGGACACCAGAAATGGGCTTCACACATTGTACCCATGTGGGGAATCGAACCCTGTCTTCGGGCGCCGGTCCTCGGCGTGACGAGTGAACGCTTTAACCACTAGGCTACCCCACAGCCCCTAGTTTGTTTAAGAGGTAACAGGGGTGGATACCTCTATATCAAAGTGAACGAATTTGGTAATTCCTGTATTTTGTGCTGCGCATTTATCAACGGAAGTCAGTCACTAAACTATCAATAGTCACACATACTATCGATGCATCGATAGTTTTTCGGTTTCTACCATCGATTAATTGCTATCGGAGACTCAACAATTGCAGTCCATCGATAGTTCGGTGCATCGTTACACCCCTACACATATGAGTGTCACCATATATAGTCCCTAGGACTTAGGACTTGATCATGTTGATAAAGTTTTGTACATTATCAGATGAATCCTCAGTGTTACTGGCTTGTGTTTCAGGATACCTCTGTTCCCCTGTAGCATAGCAGGATGCCCCGAGACCTTCGATACACTCCTGGGGTGAGTGTACCCATTTGTACATTAACACTAGAGGGATTCTGGGATAGAATGTGCGACTGAGACTGGTTATGGGAGTCAGGTATCTTGATCGGTCGTCAGGATGTGTGTCTTGGTTGGGGTTGTTATCAAGCCCTGATGGCGTGGATTGTTTCTTCAGTCACCAGATTGTGTGGTCCAGGCTTGTTTATATACAGGGAGCCACAATACAATTAAAGAGTTATAACTGCAGCACCTGACAACAGTGAGTGAGTTTAGTTTCATGCCCCTTTAAGCAATATTCCAGCAGTATCACGGTGTCCCTGTCTCATTTCATACACCATTCTTATAAACTGTGCCCTTCACCAGGACAGTTTGTGTGCTGGTTATTGTGTGCTACTACCTTTTCCAACATCCTTTATCCGGATTCTCTCCAAGAGTCTGAGACCATTGCTCTGATTATGGTTTGTCAGTACTGGGAACATTTGGATCTTCACGTCCTGCTTCTGTACCACATCATCTGCCCAGTCTGATGTAACTGATATAAATACCCTTTGCTAATTTGGATCGCACTCCATTCTGACATGACAAAATGTTTCAGAGTCTTTGAATGACATTTAAAGTGATATACATAAAGGGGAAAATTTAAGGATGTCTACTTCTATAACATAAGATTTCAGGCTATATTCTTACTCCTTCATCGGTGAAATGAATGAAAGGATACAAAGGTGAAAGCATCATACGTGCATGTCAAAAACATCCATATGCTCCATAATGGTGTGTTTCCAGTTTCCCTCTTTGAGATAAGACTCACTGTTTCCACCTTCCTCTGTCCCAGGTATGAGAGTCACTACAACAGTGTCCACCGTCACACCTGTAGCGAGTGTCGACGCTCCTATCCGTCCAACCACTTACTGGAGATACACCTGAGAGAAGCCCATGATCCTCTCTTCTCACTCCAGTCTGGGGATAAGGTGAGGCATTTAGAGTTACCTCCCTTATTCTTTAACCACAGTGTGTTCTTGTAAGTATTGCATTGGTGATTGGTCTTCAGCAACCCATGCTTGTCGTAAGAGGTGGTCTGTCCCACTGACTTGGTTGATGCAGGTCATATCCCAAATGTGTAGATCTATGCTTAGGCCTAAAAAAAAATGTTGCGTTCCGATTACCCGACCGACCCTTGAGTTCTGGTGCTGACCCTATCTTTTTTTAGGTGGTATGAATAAAATAAGCTTTCAGATACCATTGTTTTTTCCCATCGCCGACAGACATCGGTCATTCTGATAGAGAAAGTCGACATGATAGCTGCAAGCTGATTGAATAAACAATTACACATTTATAAATGTGTTATTAGTTTGTACTTTGCTTCTAAAACAATTTCAAAGAGGTGTAATCGAAACCACAACATTATTTGGCCTTATTATGTCTATCACTGGATCGTCAAGATTATTTACAGACTGCCATTATAAATCTGGAAAATTGCTGAGTGCGGCAATAAACAGCAAACAAACAGAACAAACAAGCAGCTGTCAGACATGAGAATTTTCTGCTGATTTCCAGGAATTTGGTTTCATTTTGAACGTTTTTGAGATCAATGTAAATCTGCAATAAAAGACCCTCGGCTAAATTTTCATTTTTTTTTTGTGCTTTGCCTTTCTCATGTGTGAGCTGTACACACAACCATGCACTATGTTATATGGAAGCAATCTCCATGTTGAACCCATATCACTCACCTGTGTGTTTGTGTATGGTGCCCACCATCAACAGAGATGAATGTCTTGTAGACAGGAGATGTCTAAGGTGCTGAGTGTTGACTGTTTCAGTTTGTATGTCTGGTTCAAGGATGTGAGCAGAAGTTCGCTGCCCCGAAGATCCGGAAGAACCACATGGTCAAGAAGCACAAGTACCCCGCCAACTACAGATTTGATAGAGCTAAACCAGGGTGAGGTGATGCCGCACCTCAGACAAAATAAGTTGATAGAATATACTGTCTGAGATCCTTATGGAACTGGTGTCAGTGTTGTAATAATCTGTGTTGCCATGACAGCAACATTAACTAATGAGGCTTTATGTTGGGGTTGTTATGTCTGAGGCTTATGTTCGAGGTTGTTATGTTTGGGGTTGTGGTGTTCGGGGTTGTGGTGTTCAGGGTTGTGTTGTTATGTGGTGTTGGGGGGTGTGGTGGTGTTTGTTGGGGTTGTGTTGTTGGGGGTTGTGATGTTGGGGGTTGTGGTGTTGGGGCTGTGTTGGTGTTGGGGGTTGTGTTGTGTGGGTGTGGGGGTTGTGGTTTCTGGGGTTGTGGTATTCAAGGTTGTGGTGTTGGGGGTTGTGTTGTTCAGGGTTGTGTTGTTGGGGGCCTTGGTGTTGGTGGTGTTGGGGGTTGTGTTGTTGGGGGCTGTGTGGGGGGTTGTGGTGTTGGGGTTGTGATGCTTGGGGGCTGTGGTGTTGGGGCTGGGGGTTGTGTTGGTTTGGGCTATGGGTGTTCAGGTGTTGGTTGTGGGGCTGTGGTATTCAAAGGAACTGTGTGGGGGTTGTGTTGTTGGGGGCTGTGGTGTTGGGGGCTGTGGTGTTGGGGGTTGTGGTATTCGAGGTTGTGGTGTTTGGGGTTGTGTTGTTGGGGGTTGTGGTGTTGGGGGTTTGGTGTTGTGTTGTTGGGGGTGATGTTTGTGGTGTGGTGTTTGGGGTTGTGATGTTTGGGGGTTGTGATGTTTGGGGGCTGTGTTGTTGGGGGTTGTGGTGTTGGGGGCTGTGGTGTTGGGGGTTGTGTGTTGGGGGTTGTGATGTTGGGGGTTGTGATGTTGGGGTTGTGGTGTTTGGGGGTTGTGTTGTTTGGGGGTTGTGGTGTTGGGGGTTGTGATGTTGGGGGTTGTGATGTTCAGGGTTGTGGTTTTCAGGGGTTGTGGTGTTTGGGGTTGTGATGTTCGGGGTTGTGGTGTTTGGGGTTGTGATTATCGAGGTTGTGATGTTCGAGGGCCTGCTGGGGCATGTGGATGATGTTTCCAAGTTGGACATGAGTGACAATAATGAATGATGTCTGATGTCATACCCTGTCCTGACTTGTAGATCAGAATACACAAACCTGAAACACCTTAAATGCACGAACTGAATTCCAACAGGAATGGTCTAAAGGTTTATGTTGATGTGTGATTTCAGTAAGGCAGCTGTGAGGCAGAGTAAGGCAGGGGGTGACATGGATAGTGATCGACAGAGTCAGACCAGGGTTAACAGTGCAAGTGATCGACAGAGTCAGGCCGCGGGGGACTCAGGAACTGGTGGCCAGAATGAGGCTGGTGATGACATGGAGGTGACCATGGTGGAGAAGGAAAACATTCCCCAAGAAGGCGTCGTCAGACGTGTGTTCACTTACAAGTAAGTACTCAGCACAGTCAACTGATACCCAGTAGACTGCAGACTGGTACAGATTACTTCATGAATATTTGTGATACTAATTTTGAGTAATATATGTTAGAATGTATTTAATTCCTGAACAAGAACAAGGACTGCTGTAATCTTGAGTTTTGTGAAATTAATAGGATACAAGCATGGTTATTATAATGTCCGTCCTTCATATTGTCAGTCTCAAATTGTAGTTTGAAATGAAGAAAATGTATTCTTTTGAATTTTAAAAAAGTCAAATTGAAAAACTGGATATGTCTTCCATGGGCTTCTCTTCTCTTTGGCAGAAATGTTTTTGGAAACCATGACTTAATCAGTAGCAAAACAGTGAGATTAGCAAAAACATTAGACCCGAATTCTGATAAAATCTTTCAGAAAGCGAACTTACGCTTTGTGTAGGATCACCAAATAATTCACTGTCTCACTGGTCTATGTTCTGTTTACAAGACTGTTGTGTTATTTTCCAGAGTGCCTCAGAATATATGTTTTGGTCATGGGTCTACACGGAGCTTCCAGAGACCTCGGGGTCGCCGGAAACCCAAACACTGGCACCAGTCCAACATGGAGACAGACACAAGTGTCCACATTGAGAACGTTGACATGGGGGAACTGAAAGATGCACTTGAATGAGTAACGTCATAAACACAGCTGTAGGCTGAATCTTACATACATTCATGTCACTACGTCACCCACTGTGAAGCAACAAAGTATGTAACTTGTGGTCGGTGCCGGTGTGGTCGGTGCCAGTGTAGTCAGTGCCGTGTGTGGTCAGCAGCTAATGCTTGTTGTAAGAGGCTACTAACACGATTGGGTGGTCAGGCTTGCGGACTTGGTTTATACGTGTCATTGTATCACAACTTGATTGTTGGGTCCAGACTCGACTATTTTTCTGCCATTATATAGCTGGAAAATTGCTGAGCACAGCTTTAAATAAGATTTTTAAAAAATAGATGATGACGGATTGCATTGTACCACAGTCATGTGGTGTGTGTTGAGAGAAAGAAGAGTTACAACTGAAGAATATGATTTTCTTGATGGTTCCACTTCTTGATTGCTTGCTTCTTCAAGATGCTTCTTCAAGATGCTTCTTCAGGGTTATTTCCAAGCCTGATATTTAACAGTGTTGGGATGGGAAGAGGGTAACCTCCTCTCAGATGCTGATGGACAGTGAAGTGAAGTGAAACTAGCCATGGGCAAACATTGTCCTCTGCCCAGGATGAAGGTTTTGTGTTAATCTACGAACATGTGGATGATGGTAGCTCCCAGTACACTGTAGATGTGATACGAACCACCGTGGTATCAACCAGCAGCTCATCTATTATCTATGACTGCTATTTTCCACTTCACTGAACAAGGCTTCTTTTTCAGTGAAAAGGTCAGCATCAATTCAATGCTGGTCATCATCCCAGTGATTTGTGCTTAGAGAAAATCATGATTATTGAACTTGCCTGCCATGTCATAAAATGAATAATGAATTTTGTCATAAATAAATGTCCACTAATGCAAGTTGTTTGTTTCTTGTGACCACAGTTTGTGTTTGCATCAGTTTGATGCTAAGACTGGGTGTCTTGGTTCAAAGCTTGTCGTCATAGCTGGCATCATTGTTGCCTAGGAGGGGCGTCCCAAAAGTAGTCGGCCTCACCTAGAAAATTATACAAATGCATTTCTTTTTATGTTTTATTTTTCTACATATTATCTGTCAACCTCAAGCAAATTGCTTTTGCCATGTTCCAGCCTCACGATCTCCATTTTGTTTGACTCTTTATCTTGGTACCCCCCCAAAAACCCCAAATCTGCAATAAATGCATTACAAACTCCAGGAAACATAATATACCAAGAATAACAAGTAAAGCGCCAGCCTATTTCAAAACTAAGATGTGAAGTTGTGGAAATGTTAGGCTAAAATAATTGGGAAGACCAATCCATGTTTAGAGAAGGTTCATCTGGTAACTGATTTAGAGATATCATAATCATTTGTATTTACAATTAAAGGAAATATTGTTAAAGATATGATGGCACTGATTTTTAAAGCAAAATAACTATTCCTGTTCTGCTTATACAACACTATTAAATTTGGGTTTCACTTGACAAAAATGACAATCATGTGACCATATAACAGTCATTTCTGATTTTCACTTTTCAAAAGAAGGTAACCTTTTTGAGGAAAACAAAATGCATGTTTTCCAAAAGTGCATATATCCTGTTTAAAGTAAAAGATAATTTCCATAATGGTTTTGTTTTTAAACTAAAAGTACTAAACCAAATTATGATAGTTGTTTTTTTCTGAAAGATTTCCTATGAGACAACCTATATTGGCAAAATATACTGGGTTTTTATTCACAGTATATGCAAAAAACATTTTGTGTTTGAGAAGTCCTCTAGAATCAAACGTAGATATTAAAGTGCATAAAAATGCAATTTGACAATACAATTGCTCGTTAAAGTGACACCCCCATGATGTTTACTGAAGAGCTTGTTTTGGAGACCCTACCAACCCCTTTCCGATGACGTAATCACAAGGACATAATTTATTCTAATGTTTTCACTTATTCATACATGATGCCAAGGGTTCAAACTAAATACTGAATGGTCACACAAGTGTCAGCACTCAATATATTGCAAACAGTGCCAGCTTCAATATCTGGACACAATGTTTTTGAAAGATTAAAATGAGGGTGTCCTTTAAAAACAGCCCCGTCTAAATATAAATCAAGCAATCCAAATCTTAAAATGTTGATTATGACGGGAAGTCATCCAATACTATACTGAACATATTTTATATGATATTATCTGAGGGCATACCATTATCCAAGAGGTACAAAATGACAGATCGTTTTTCACTTTCTGCAATTTTTAAAGAAATATTATGACCCAATGTGTTGTGATGACTAGTATCTCGTTAACCACATGACCCATATATGTGAAATGTTGGATATGGCTTTGCTATTGATTCCTTCAAAATAAAATGGAAGCTTTTCTAACATTGGACATCGATTAGTTAGACCGACTACTTTTGATACGCCCCTCATATTTTGATAGTCATAGGAGTGTCTTGCCCATCAAAATATTTACAGGAAGCCATCATATATATCGGGAAGATTGTGATGAGTGTAACCTTAGGCTGTAGTCACTTCATCATCTCACTGAGAGCATGGATAATTGATGCGACGTTAAGCAACAGTTACCCACTCACTCACTCAAATATATGTGTATGATTAAACATCATAATGCAATATGTATAATGGCTTTACTATACAATGTTTTTTTGCGAGTAAACTAGCACTCTTAATGTACGTGTTTGAAGCCCAAATAAGACAAAAACATGTTAGAATGATGGCGTGTCTTTTATTTATAATTCCGTGTATTATTTCCCCTTTATTCCATCTACGTGTATGCATCGTGCTTATGAACGGAGAATCTCAGACTCCTGGATGTTGACGTCATACTGTCTCCATTTCCGGGTTTAAACGTCACCCGAGTCGTCGTCCATATCCGTGATTATATGGCGCTCTTCTGCATGGTCTTCTCTGAATGTCTGGCCCAAGACAACTTCTGTATCGGGAGCTGCATTCCCGACGACGATGTTGAATGCCGCCGATGCACCGTGACCACCGTGACCAGTCGCTCCGAAATGGAGGGTTTTCTGCCCAAGGTGTTAGGTCAAGATCTGGCAGGTCTCTGCATCTGACCAGAGGGTTTGTACTGCAGAACAAAGAACCAGACATATCAGCATTTTGGTACCGCTGAATGAAGAGGCAACTAATTTGTGTTTTGAATTATGCTGGTGTGTATTTTTGTATTACAGGGGTTCTGTATCTGAGTAGAGCACATAGAAACAACAACATATGCCCGTCGGAACATAAGGCTAAATGAATCGCACGATTAAGCTTGGAGACTTCGTTTGTGCATGTTATCGAATCCCAAATCTGAGTATGTTCATGATATCAATCACCGGGTTGTCTGGTCCAGACTCGATTACTTACAGACCGCCGCTATGTAGCCGTTTTGTGGTGAGTGTGGCGTTCAGTGACAAACAGGCGATGGATTAACGAATATCCTATCTCCAGTTGCTAAGAGACACTTATATATAATCCAGTAGGTAAGAGACACTTACATATAGTCAGCTACCTGGAGTGCATATGGCTGGATGAGAGCCAGTCTGGCATTATCACAGACAACCTTGGCAATCGTCACAGACTGGAGAGAGCGGAGCTGACCTGTGCAAAAAATCCCGCAGAGATATATTTGCCGAAAGAGAACTGGATAAGAATGCAATCTCTGAAAGGTTAATCAGTTTTTTATATATATACTGACATGCAAAATATATTAGGCACCTGGTTTGTGGATTATTTTAAATTCTGCGCTGTTTTGGTAAAATGTATACATTGTTTGTGGCTTGTACGTCACAATCAAACACTTTTTCACAAGATGCATGTTTTGTTTGAAATAAATGATGCAAATACACCAGGTGTGTATTTACTTTTGTCAGTATATTTTAATTCTCAAATCCTGTTATGGAGTCAAACTTGTGAGTAAGTGTGGTGTGGCTTGGCTTTAAGCAACATTCAAGCAATATCATGGCGGGAGACACCCGAAAATGTTTTCATACATGTGGGAATCGAACCTGGGACTTGGGGCATTATGAACGAACGCTTCAACCACTGGACTACCAACCCCTCTGTTCCAGTGGCAAAGTGTTCAGAATGACAGAACGAACACTGTGATGATGTTAATGGTATGACGGCAGTTACACGCATGCATATACTCTGCAAACTAAATTTAACGTCTCACCTATAGAGAAGCGGACTGGATCCATTGCCGTCTCGTACCAAAACCTGTCCCCTTCTTTGAGGAGCTGGAACTGGGTGCCAATGATGCATGCAACAGTTGGTCCGACGATACCTCCAGGGAGGGGGCGTTCGCTGATGGCACCAGGGAACAGGTCGATGTCGTCAGGGTGACTGGAAACAGGGAACTATAGGTTATAATTTGTCAAGACGTTTTAGAATAATGACGTCACTGGTATTCCGTCAGCCTTGTGTTAAGCGAGATGAATACTTTCTGTGTGACAGTTTTCCCGTTAATTATTCAACGTTGATTAACTTCGATAAATCCACAATGAAGTGTAACAAGAACTAATTTACATTCTATTTACAACGTATTTCAAATTCATATTTTAAAGGTTGCCTAAATTCGTCTTATTATTGTCTAGGCGTTGTAATAAGTACTCTGGTACTCCGATAAGTCGTATTTGTATGATTAAGGTAATCGTTAACCGCTAATTTCATGCACATCCCAAATAAGTGATTACAGGTACGTGTTTGCTTGGACTGCCACTGTCCCCTACCCAGATCCTTCTGCAGGTGACCCCTTTGTATGCACCGGCATTAATATACAATAGAAGCTGGCAGCTTATGTTAACCAGGGCAATAGTATCAACTCTCTGCGCATTATTTAACGCCACGGATCATCTACGATGCTGATATTAGGTGCCCTTACAAATGTATATAATATATTACAGTATACTTGTTTGTAGTTGATTTAAGTTTAAATGGAGATGTATCATGGATTCACTTGTATAGCCGTCCCAGAAGACGAGCTGCGTCACTAGGATGATCAACAAGCCCGTTGAACCCAGTTCCAAAGTTTTCAGCTTCAGGAAGCTTGCACCATCTCCTCCAGGCGTTGTATCCTGGCAGACCATGATCTCGCCCTCTCTGGATGTTCAGAGATGCCAAGTCCAGACTATTACCCTCCTTGTCCAAGAACAACTTATTGGTCACATCCGGTGTCATGAAACGGTCAAATGCTTCGACATGGTCTCTGGTCATTCCGCCGAGCAGCCACGGTATTGACTGACCTTTCGTGTCAAAGATCAAAGAAGCGTTGCCAAACATTGACGTCAGCGTAGTTTTTCCATGAATTTCATAGGGGGATCTTAGCTGGGAGAATGTTCCACGGATTAAAGAATGTCCAAAACGGTAGGCTGCAGTTGAAAATGCGTTTCTTATGCTGGGATCTGTATTCTCGTTGTAGACGGTTCTGTATCCACCTTTGCTCGGTTCCAGTCGAAAGAACTTTATGGTGTGCTTGTTGAGGATAACTGGCAAGAACTCCTCGTATGTGATTTTCTGGATCATGGCACCAACAATCCTCCTTGTTTCTTGGAAGATACACTCGTCGTCCCAGTGAGGATTTAGTTGATTCAGAGCTCGGGCGATCCGGTTGTGTTCTCGCATCCATATTGTATGCATGCTGGTGAGGCCGCTCTGTTCGTTAACTCTTTCATCACCTGGCGACCAAAGTAAATTGCATGTCATCATTTAGGTTTTGTGACGTTGAAGGAAAGATTTTACTACTTCTTGAGAATTTCACCATCTGCACATTTTATCATGTCAATATTGAAGCATACTGTTCTTCCAAAATCTCTTTCAAGGTTATCAGATGAATGAGTGAGTGCGTTGAGTTTTACGCCGCACTCAGCAATATTCCAGCTATATGGCGGCGGTCTGTAAATAATCGAATCTGGACCAGACAACCCAGTGATCAACAACATGAGCATCGATCTGCGCAATTGGGAACCGATGACATGTGTCAACCAAGTCAGCGAGCCTGACCACCCGATCCCGTTAGTCGCCTCTTACCACAAGCATGGGCTACTGAAGGCTCATTCTAACCCGGACCTTCACGGGTAGGTTATCAGATGAACGATAGCATACACTTTTCACGTAACCCATAAGCAATTGTTCCCATTATAATGAATAAACTTTACAAGGTTTTGATAGTTTATATGTAATCAGGGACGAAATTGAACTTTTGATTGTTGTTATCAATACTTTCAATAGTACATATGTGAGGATCTTGCACCTATTTGTTGGTAAATGAGATATTTTGAACTTTTCGGTCATTTTACATGCATTAAATAGGAAATAGTACAACTGCAGCTTTGTCCAGCAATACAACACTCAACACGCTATAGTTGTGTGTTGTATCAATACAACCAACTGTACTGTTTCTTCTCTTCCTTTTGCGGCCATTTTGTAACATATCTTGGGTTACACTTCATGCGTTTCATTGCTGTTAAGATGTGCTTGATTATCACTGATATCCGAATGCCTGGCGGCTAGATATGTAGAACACTCGACTGAGTGAGGTCAGATTTTGTATATCCATTCATTACACACACACGTCATGCTGCAGACCATTCGGTAATATGGCCACAGTGGACGTACCCCCTGGCTACACGTGCTATGTAGCGTACAATAAGTGTCCTTGACATTGGAATTTCCTGCTGTACCCTAATCCCACTCGCATAGTGTATACGCTATCTTTGGGGATATGTTTATTAATAACACAAGCTCAATACCGTTTGTAATATTTTGATCGCCCAGTGGTTCTCTAAATTTCACAATTACAAATAATATTTTCCGTCCGTGTACATCATGTCTGTATATCATCTTTGTAAAGAGCCACATAACAGTATTTAGTAAGACATCTTACTGCATGTAATGGAAAGTGTATTCCGAAGAATTAACTCTGCCTGAACCTTGATGTTTGCGCTTTGTAGTGAGTGAGTGAGTGGGTTTTACGCCGCTTTTAGCAATATTCCAGCAATATCACGGCGGGGAATATCAGAATTGGAATCACACATTTGTACCTAAGTGGGGAATCGAACCCGGGTCTTCAGCGTGACGAGCGAACGCTTAACCATTAGGCTAAAACATAAGACGACAATGTCAGATAATTCGAAATCTCGATTATACGGCTAAACAGATTCCATTGGGCATGAACGGAAAAACGGCAGTGGAAGCTATATCATATTGAATGTATGACTGATACCCTGTGATGCTACCAGTTGTCCCCGAAAGGATAAGAAGTCTTGCCTACCGATGACACCCGCTATTCACACAGTCTGTATAAACATTGAACTAAACAAACACTTACCTGCTAGGAAGCAAGAACTGTCAGAAGGTTTTTCAGGAATGCAATTTTGCATGTTGGAATTCGGAAGCATCTCAAGTCGATCATCTTGAAAGTCTAACAGTCCTGTGACATACAAGAGGCCAATTAGTACATGACATAAACAACTGCTTATAATATTACATATAGTTATAATAGTAATTAGCCTAAGTATATGCATCAAGATATACAGAAAAAATCATAGTTCTTATATTTTCAGTTTACGTAGTTCTAGTCTCCCACCTTTAAATGATAGAGAAATGAATTTTCAAATTCTCTAATTTGCTCACTAACCCGCTACAGTATTGTGAGTGTTTTAGGTAAATGTTTGTTTTCTCACAGTACCCAAACCATACAGAACATGTACATACACGGACAATGCATCATAGACACCACCAGCTCAATACGCCGGAAGCCCCGTTTGAAGGAACGTAACGATAACCACACGGTTTGTTGCCGTGTAGTGAGTGAGTGAGTGAGTGAGTGAGTGAGTTTAGTTTTACGCCGCTTTTAGCAATATTCCGCAATATCACGGCGGTGAACACCAGAAATGGGCTTCACACATTGTACCCACGTGGGGAATCGAACCCGGGTCTTCGGCGTGACGAGCGAACGCTTTAACCACTAGGCTACCCCACCACCCCCTTGTTGCCGTGTAAGTGTAAAAGGAACGGTTGTAGGAGATCCCCTTGAGATACACCTGTATTACCATATTCATGCAGACGCAGTGCATCTTGTTCCTCTTGAGTGGACCCATACACGGCGGACCCATCCACGAAGGCTGTCAGCTGGTTGAGCTGTTCTACAGGCTCTGTCACAGAACATCATACAGTCAAACACAGGCTGCATCGGAGTTACTTTTCTTGTTTCGTATTGTATGTTTAACGCTTCAGTCAGCAACATTCCAGCCAAGTATATAATCCAATCTGGACTAGACAATCCAGTGACTGGAATCTCGTTTTTGGAACACGATGACATACATAGTCACGTCAGTGAGCCTGATCTGACACTGATTCCAGAATATTAGTTCAATCAAGGAAATCTTAATCATTAATAGTACTCGGAATAAGATGAATAAATATGTCTCATGTCAACTTACCAAATTCACAGTCGGTGTTTTGAACTTGAATAGAGCGTACGAAGTTTAAACACGTCCTGTTTGTGAACGTGGGATCGCCGGGCGGGATAGGAATGGGGAAACAGACATCCCTGCAACAGCAATATTGTCACACATCATGTAAGTACCGATATCCCAGTCAATACACATTGCAATGACATCCGCCAGACAAGGGGCAGATAACCCCGATGAGGCCATGCTATGTGTCTCCATACATTAAACCTTTTACAGCATTTATCTTTAATGTAAGACAGACAAAGTCTGTATAATGTCTTTTATGAAAACATGTCAGCGGGATTCGTCAATTCTAATTGTAACAAAATATTCTACGATGGGCAATATATGCGTTGATCACTGACGGGTCAGAAAATACAAAAATTCGCCTCCTCTGTTCGAAACATTGTCTAAGCACCATAGCTCTGTAATGAAATCCGGAAAATACTTGTATTTACCACATTTTCATAGTATTAAAAAAAGATATAATGGTTTCTCTCTTGCACGATAAACAAACGGAAGAACGCCTTTATAAGAACAAAAACAAACAAACAAACAAGAGATGTGCATGCCTTACCTGTCCTCAAGCAGTGCTATGAGCTCTGGTGGGCTGTCAGGTGGGATATCATCTACACAGCAGGTGATAACAGAGTCATCGGCACCTGCATGGTATAAATTGTGTATATTGTGCAAAGACACTGGCAGATGCAGATAATGTTTAGCATCGATGCTATACATATCTGTTTTGCAATCTCACAAACTGATATTTATGCCGTTGATGTACCATGTATAGCTGACCTACCTGTTTGTATGGGGGTGATGATGATGTCGTGGTCAACAAACTGACCTACCTGTTTGTATGGGGGTGATGATGATGTCGTGGTCAATAAACTGGCCCCATTGCATCACCAGGTGGGTGTGGACAGGTGATTCTGGAACATTCTCATCGCTGGCATGGAGGGTCCTACTCACGAGGCGGGGGTTGGGGAGATCGTTGCCATCGCTACCACGAGCTCTGGGCTCGGAAATTCCTAAACATTTTGCAACCATAATCTAACTCGTTGTCATTTGGCATTCTGGATTAATAAAAAGAAATAATTTCGTGCGGCAAATACGTGAAAAATATAATTGTGAATTAGTTTTAGCAAAACGATTCCATTCTCAAGGGGGAAGAAGAGAGTGATCAGTGAAATGCAATGGAATGAATTTGTAAAATTGAAGCAGGGATTGAAGCAGAAAAATACTAATCTGATATCAATAGTGAACGGTTTAGCAACACGGCGCCTTGTGGGTTGTACATGAAGAGGACGGATACCAGTGATAGTAGCATATTTTTTTCTTAACACGTCCTCAGTTTTTCGATAGCAAACATGATATCACATATGGCAAAAAGCAGGAATAACATGTTTTACATATTTCACACTGATTGAGAAATGGCCTTGTTCCCCCCGATCCACGCACCTGAATATACTGCTGAGTGTGGAGGAAAGGTAAACGGCAAAAGAAAGTGCACCGAGTTTGTTTGGGGTTTTTTCAATTAAAGAAACTGTTTTGAAATTAGATTACGTCTTTTCAACTATCAGTCATCTGTACAAGTGATCTGTTTTGGGGTCATAGGGATAAAAATGAATTGGTTTGATGAAGAGTGAGTGAGTGAGTTTGCCCGTTTTTGAAAAGCCAGAGTGGTCTTTTGAAACAAAGCGTAAAAATGTGTGAAACAGAGATCCGAACAGTAAAACAAGTGAGTCTTGTAAAAGATGTGATATGTAACAATGAATAATGTGTTTCACCGCGGGCGCCGTGATTGACGTGTTCTGCATGAGTCACATAGACGTGTACAAAGATGTTATACCAACATTACCATATTGAAAATGTAATTATAAGAGTTGCTTTGTCCTATTTCAAGGAAGTATAAACTTGCTGCTATTTGATATGCAAGTACCTTTTACAAATTCTGTTGTGTCGAGTGAGTGAGTTTGGTTTTACGCCGCTTTTAGCAATATTCCAGCAATATCACAGCGGGAGACACCAGAAATGGGCTTCACACATTGTACCCATGTGGGGAATCAAATTGGGTCTTCGGCGTGATGTGTTCGATGAAGAATGGGTAAAGAAATGAATTTGCATCCATGTGACATTTTTTTAATGTAAATTTGTGCCGAAAGCTTGAAAGTCTAAAATGTCAAAGAGACCTATCAGCATTTGTGTTTTATGCAAATTATATATTTAAGTTTTTAAAAAGGCATGTAGACGTAATATTCAGTTGAGCGCCGGTATAGTTATTTTTACGATATTTTTTATTATATATGATCAGCTGACATGTATAGTTGCTTTCGCTAGTCAGATTACGATTAACGCATATGATATATTTTCTTACCGTCGTCATACACTGGAGGCAGGAATCTCCTGAAGGGAATGAAAGCCTTTCCCCATCGCGGGTTGTGGAGGTTGTTGCAGCGGCCGTCAGCTGTACGGTAACGAGAGTGTGGGTCACAGGTGATCACCTCGTCCGTTGGGCAGGTTCCATTATTTCGAAAAAGATCTTTAAAAGACGAACTCTCGGAAACAAGATTGGATACCTCCGCGACGACTTCCTGTCGGCTGTAGTTGGTAAAGGCGGGACTATCGGGAAAAGGGAAGCTTTTTATTGGGACTTCAATGTTATGGCTATGGTTTGTCTGAGAGCGGAAGGTCGCGGGTTCGATCCCCGACCGCGTCATACCAAAAGACGTTAAAATATGGTACTTGTTGGTCCCTGCCTGGCGCTCGGCATTAATGGGTACAACAAGGACTGGTCGGCTCGGAGTCAGTATAATGTGTCTGAGTGGGGTATTCATGCTTCACTGCGGCATGGTATCTCAGTGGGCTAGCATATAAAACCAGTCTGGGCTAGTACAAGCATCCGCACATACACATACACACGCATGCACGTCGTCATATGAGCGAAATGTTCTCAAGCACGACGTTAAACCCAATTTCACCTCACCTCACCTATGGTTTGTCTCTTTTATGTATAGCATCACTACATACGGCTTACCTGGATAACAAAGGGAACTTATAAACACGAGATGACTGGCGTTCCGCATTTAGTCGGCATGATCCGATACCCATCAAAGCGGCATTTAACCAACTCACTCACTAACTCGCTCATTCCACAAAGTACAAGATTGGATGTGCCAGATCTGAAGAGTTCTTTTATTTATTCATTGCATGGCTGTTGTGGTAACAGTCATCCTGGGGGAATTGGGGAGGTCTAGTGGTGTAAGCGTTTTGCTGGTCCGGCTGGAGGCCCGGGTTTGATTCCCACATGGGTACAATGTGAGAAGTTCATTTTGGGGTCCCACGCCGTGATATATCGTAAAAGAGTGAAACAGCCAAACTCGCTGACACATTCCAGAAATACGCCTTAAAAACTTGAGATGTTCTATTTGGTTGGACGACAAAAGCCAAACTGAGAGTGCAAGTAAATCCCACTAACCAGAACACTGCTTCATGGAAAATAAAGCTTGAAAACATTTCGACGGTTATATTTAAGAATATTTAAAAGTATTTAAACTCTTGAAATTTACCTTCATTGTGACGTGTACATATATACCTACGTGGGCGACTAACGGAATCAGGTGGACAATCTATGTAACTTGGTTGACACATGTCATCGTATCCCAATTACGTAGATCATGACGTTGATCACTGGATTGTCTGGTCTATACTCGATTATTTACAGACTGCCACCATGTAGCTGGCAAATTGCTGAGTGCGGCGTTAAACAACAAGCTAATAATATACTTACGAAACCTTAGTGAGAGCTTTAATAGCATACAACCTCTGCCTCACCACACGGCCAAGCCTCACTGATTGAGCCTTTGTGTTGAGTATAACTGCATGGAAGTATTTGGCAGAGGTCCCTCCGTGGAAGTCAATACCTGAAACAGGTATTTTAAGGATGTATTTTCCCCAGAGTACATAGTAACAGTACTCCAACAACCATTTACAAGACTTGTTTGGAGGTGAAGTGCTATTTCTACAAATAATGACCTTACAGTTGATTTGAATGTTTGTAAACGGAAGGATTATTATTGCAATTTGAAACCTATGATTTTATTTCAGTTTTAAATCTTTAACTTTTAATTACATTTGAAACGATTTTAATATGAAAACATTCATGGCTGTATTTATCAACTGGGAAAATGTGTCGGGATAACTCAGTCCAGCTGACCTACTGCAAGGAAACGTTTCTCCTGGTCCTCGAGCTTGTTGAGCGCTTCTTCCAGTTCGTGTTCGACGTTTGGTCTTGCCTCTTCAACACTACGAGTCTCCGCAGCACCTTTCAGGCTCAGAACGAGAGCAGTACAGACTAGGACGGCAACAGACTGGCCATTCATCGCTCTGCCGGGAACGATGTTTACCACGCACCCCCAGACTGTTGAGTGAAATACTGTCCTCAGATTCAGTCAGATCCACGTCTTCATCAATGTCCTTGGGCAACCTCGCACCTATGAGCAGATAATCTATGTTTAATGACGGTGCTTTGTCAGTGGTAGGTAAATATACTTATGCTCCACTGGCCTATATTAAAGTAGGTACAACAAGCTTTCCAAAGAGTCACAATATGTCCATACACGAACTGGGGGTATTAAACTCCTTAACTTGGCCATTTTAAAATCGCTCCTCTCCTATTTAGGCTATCTGGTTTCATATCCAGAATACCAAAACGCTTATTAAAAGCGAAAAGGGAGTTGAAACCCTTATGAATGGATCTGTAAAATAACCGGTGACACCAGGTGTCTACGAAGCAGGCATGTGTCCTCATCCACGGACACATATGTATACTAAAAGAGTACACTGTATGATTCCAACAATATTGTGAGGATGTGTTTATGAAACAAGAAACGTATAAACATTTTTATTCTTCTATAAGGCCGGTGCTCCGTTCTTAGTGACTCGTCGCTGAATCAAACATCACTCCATCACTGGGGGCGGTGGGGTTGCCAAGGAGGTATATATTATATACTGAAAGAAAAAATAAAGGATCACATGAAAGCACAAGTGTTCATATATTTTGTTCCAGGTTTCTTCACAAGCTGTGCGATACAAAGCATATGAAGAAATCTGGGGAAAAAATTAAGGAACACTTGTGCTTTCATATGATCCCTGATTTTTTCCCTCAGTATATTAAAGCGGTCACTCTTCCCGCCGAAGACCCCAGTACGATGCCCCACATGGGTACAATGTGTGAAGCCCATTTCTGTGTCCCCCGCCGTCATATTGCTGGAATAGTGCTAAAAGCGGCGTAAAACCCAACTCACTCACTTACTGGTTTGGTCTACTCTGCCAGTTGCTGCTGCTTCAAACAAACCCAATAAACATGAATATTTTAAGAGCACACAAGCTTTACATACACCTCTTTCTATTGATTTGTACACAAACAATGTTATGCTTCTGGGCTAGGATAACTGCAGAAAAAGAAAAAAAATTCTCTTGTATTCTATACCATTGTATTTTTTACACAGATCGCATCAAAATCTGTGGAGCTCTTGTGCGAGTGATATTTTGGTAGAAGAGGGAGACAATTATATACAAATCAATATTTTAATGATTTAAGACATTACTACCAAAATATTATACTCATAGGCCATCTGTATCCAAAATTACTTATTTATTTCAAACTTCAAACGCTTGACTGATCAAATTTCGCTCAGTTTTGATATAAATTAGAAATATCGTCGCCATAGTGTATTGTATTGGCCTCTGTTAACGCCTCTTTATGCTATGCATATGGCCTTGAGCGAAATAGAGTTCAGGTGAGTTCATGGCGTACACTTTCTGCACCAATACTTCATGCCTTCTCGTTATCAAATACATTCTTTAAAAAAGTTTGGTAACCTGAACTTTCAACTTGGATAGGAAGTATAAGCGTTAACACACTTTTCAAAGACAGACATCTTATGAACGCACCACCATTTCTCGGTATCACTACCCCTAAATACAACGCACGTGCACAACACAGTAGCCCCATACACGTGCATAGGGTGTCATTCTTGATTTTAACGGTTTTCAAGAAGGTCGATAAATCACTGTAGATCATTAAACTTGACAATAATCTTGCATCACACAGTTGTTAATTTTTGTTTCGAGACGGATTATTTTTTTTTTTTTGAAAATGAAAATCGTACACATGCAAGTTTCACGTCATACATCAATCATCTTTCAAGAGCGATTACTGCACAAACAAAGAGTGCAAATGGTGATGAATTCGCAAAACATTCACTATTATCCTATCAACATTGATTGACTCCGACATATCTCCCAATTTTTCCAATCGTAAAAAACAAAATGACGTTCCCTACTTTTTAAAAGAGTATATTTATGTGGATAACTCGGGCGAGTGGAACAGCGACAGGACGCAAAATTGTGTAGACATGTCGTTCGCTAGTCAAATTTCAATTGATAATTTCCAAACCAGTTCCCCTGCCATGTGTGCCCCCTCCCCACGCCATGACACTATCCGCCCCCATACTGACCATGGTAAAGACATGTTTCCCTGGCACACTGCTCGCGTCACCAACAACGTTTTGAGTCATGTCGAAATTATTTATTGTTCAATGTCGGTTCCTGATATTATAGCGCACCCCAGCCTGTGTTCAGCTGTGATGGCCACACACTTTACAACACGCCTTGCTTTTGGCTGGGATTTAACTGGAATTCGCCTTCCTGTTATTTTACGAAATTTGATATTTTTCTCCTTGCTTCGATTTGTTTTAGTATTTTTATTATTTTCTCGTTATTACGAAAATCTAATGTTGCCACTTTCGTAGCAACATTCGTTTTCAGTGGCATTTCACGTTGCTTATTATTTAGTCGATGCTTGGGAGTATTTTCCCGTTCTAGTATTTTCCCGTTATATCAGTCATTCTCTCGTTGCTTCTAGTATTTTCTCGTTATATCAGTCCTTCTCTCGTTGCTTCGAGTATTTTCTCGTTACTTCGATTGATTTCTCGTTACTTCGATTGATTTCTCGTCGATTCGAGTATTTTCTCGTTCATTCAGGTTTCTTTCAAAACCTTGACATTTCGAAATTTTTAAAGAAACTTGAAGTAACGACAAATTAATTGAAATTTCAAGAAAATATTTGAAATGACGACAAAATAGCTTCTTTGAGTGGCAGTTACAAGATGGTGAACAACGAGGAGAGTTCTATGGATATACAACTTCTTTAACATTGATGTGAGCGACGTTTCGGTGTAGCTACTAACTCACTTTCTTGATAACGGTGTTAGTAGCTACACTGAAACGTGACTCATAATATAGAGGCTGTATAGCCATAGAACTCTCTTCGTTGTTGACGAGAAAATACTCGAAGCAACGAGAAAATACTCGAAATTTCAAGTTTCTAAATTGACTTGAAGTAAGGATGCAATACTCTCAAACACTATCAATTTCGCTGAAAAAACTAATTATGCAACAAAAATGGCAGCATTAGGAATATCTAGTATATTTTAAAAACCAAAAAAATCTATATTTTCATTATTTTCTTGCAATTTCGAGTTTGTCATGATCAATTGATTTGATAACGGTGTTAGCATCTACAAGGAAACGTCGCATCTAATACATTTAAAGATGTTGTCAATCCATAAACCATGTTCATCCTCAAAGAGGATATAAAATAAAATATTTTATAAAATAAAAAATATTTTATAAAATAAAGCTCACAATGTACCAAAAAATGAAATAATTTAAACAACATCAAATTTCAGTTCATATTATAAATCTATGATACAAAAGTGGCACACTCAGACTTTCGTACATTTGTGATGAAGTATGCCCTGAAGTATTCAGATCGGTGAAGTTGTTGTGAGTTTACTTGCCACGAAACTTTACCACTATACCTTTGGCTTGCTGTGCGATGAAGCCTGTAATTTGGAGGACAGTTATCTCTAACAGTGACACCCAGATAAAAAGCCTCTGTCTCAGCTCGTTTTCGTTTCAGTCTTTGAAACTGAGAGATAGAAGAGCAAATTAGCCTCGTTTAGGCGCCGCTTTCCTTGTTTTCAGTATGCTTGTGTTATTAATGATGGCAAAATAATATTATGCAAAGTTCTAGCTACATTTTCAAACAAATGAAAAAAACCCGCAATTACAAACCGTTAAAACAAAACAATCTTGTCTCATGGAATCAAGTGATAAGACCTTTCACATTCAGGAATTGTTCCAAAGACGGCAGATGTAGAAGAATAACTTAACAGAACTAACGATCTGAGATCTCTCTGTATTAAAGGAGTTTTAGAAGAAAAAAAATACTCACCCTGACCCGCTCCCTGCTGAATCAGGATAAGGCATAGGCTCTCTCCTTGAAGTCATATCCTCGGGTATCGACCAACCATTGATTGATAGGTTATTCGGTGCGGATTAGAAAGAGATCACGTGTTTCCCGTGTCCGGATTTATAGAGTTAAAAGCGAACTCCGAGGCTAGGAGACAATATTACAGCGATATTATTCCATGCAATATGTGAGCAAAATTGTATCCATCCATCCAACCACCCATCCACGACCCGCCCATCCATCCATCCATCACCCATCCATCCATCCATCCATCCATCCACCCATCCATCACCCATCCATTCATCCATCCGTCATCCATCCACCAACCGCCCATCCATCATCCATCCATTCATCCATCCGTCATCCATCCATCCATTCAACCATCCATCCATCCATCATCCATCCTTCCATCCTTCCATCATCCATCCATCCATCACCCGCCCATCCGTCATCCATCCATCCATCATCCATCCTTCCATCCTTCCATCCTTCCATCCATCCATCCTTCCATCCTTCCATCATCCATCCATCCACCAACCGCCCATCCGTCATCCATCCATCCATCCATCCATCATCCATCCATCCATCCATCCATCCATCCATCCATCCATCATCCATCCATCCATCCATCCATCCATCCATCCATCCATCCATCCATCCATCCATCCATCCATCCATCATCCTTCATCCATCATCCATCCATCATCCATCCATCCATCCATCCATCCATCCATCCATCCATCCATCCATCCATCCATCATCCATCCATCCATCCATCCATCCATCCATCATCCATCCTTCCATCCATCCATCCATCCATCCATCCATCCATCCATCCATCATCCATCCCATCCATCATCCATCCATCCATCCATCCATCATCCATCCATCCATCCATCCAACATCCATCCGTCCATCCATCCATCCATCCATCCATCCATCCATCCATCCATCCATCCATCCATCCATCATCCATCCATCCATCCATCCATCCATCCATCATCCATCCATCACCCGCCCATCCATCATCCATCCATCCATCCATCATCCATCCATCCATCCATCCATCCGTCCATCCATCCATCCATCCATCCATCCATCCATCCATCCATCCATCCATCCATCCATCCATCCATCATCCATCCATCCATCCATCCATCCATCCATCCATCCATCCATCATCCATCCATCACCCGCCCATCCATCATCCATCCATCCATCCATCCATCATCCATCCATCCATCCATCCATCATCCATCGTCTATGCTAAAAGAAACCCAGTGTTGACTATCCGCAGAAACAGACTCACATGGTCAAAAGGGCAAAACAGCCCTATATGTAAGTAACATATGAAATACATCACTGAAAATCAGTCATGACAGAAGGTGTTTTCTGAAAAATCTGCTAGTTTGATTTAAACCACTAAAGATCGAACTGTACTCTCACCATATTACACTATGGAGTGGCTAGCAAGGATGGAGATACATTGCTGTGTTTATGTATATTAATGTAAACATTGGTTTTTTTAATTATTTTACGAGGCATGATTAAGATTCCAAGTATGATTTGACTCCAATGTATATTAAAGATTCAAAATAAATTAATTTAGGGACCGTTCATAATTTATGGCTGGGGTGTGTGTGTGGTGTGTTGATGGTATGTTGTGGGGGTCGCCCATTTTGTTCTGGGGAGCTAGGGGGTCATCAATTTTGTACATAAAAATATGTTTAAAATTATGCTTAGAAATTATGGGAAGGGGAGGGAGGGTAATCGATTTTGTACATGACATGCAGGGGGGTCACTTATTTTGTACATAAATTTTAGGGGGTCTTTCACATTGTACATGCTTCTCCATTAAAATCATGATATCACACACACACGCACACACACAAAAAAAAGCCATAAATTATGAAGGGTCCTTTAGTTGTTTTACTGGTACAACTGTTGCTATATATGTGAGTTGGTAATTGTGTAAACATCTGGGATCACGACTGAGTTTCAGTGATGAGGTCATATTATGTTAATCACTATTTGCCTTTAACGGAAACTATTTCGTCGGATAAGCCTGTGCCCTGAAATTCAGATGGTGCTTAATTAATGCTCATGTGTATATGTTTTGGTGATTATTTGGGAATTGGAGGTCAGATTCTCTGCAGATCATCGTGCCCGGTATCCTTAATGACTGCTGTTTTGATAATGTTTCGTTAAGTCGAAAACAATCGGTTGTGATGAGCAGGGGGATTATTTTCTCTTAGTTATTCACCAGATTAAACTTTCGCTGACATGTACATATCTAATACTAGCGTGTACCGATGAACCGAATGTAACATGTAAGGTCATGGTAGGCTTATCTGAGTTGAAATAATACCAGACCATCCCCAAGCGATGACTTAGTTAACTGGAGTAGTCAGCCTTTGAACTTCACAGTCACCTGGGGCATTCTCCGGTGGTTTTGTCTATATACTGCAGTCACTCACACAATGACGGGGACTTGTTGACAGCAGGAAAAAGTCGTATGATTAAGTTGTGCAACATTAGACAACGTTAAACAATCGGGTATGTTTGAGGTCAACTCTCAATTTGGTTAAATCTGAATGTCCCCGACACTAATTTCTGGAAATGTGAAACCTACTCAACTTTTGTGTAACACAAACTTTGATTCCATTGATTCTAATGTTAGTTTGGCGACTTCTTTGAACTTATTTGAAACTGGTACAAACATATTTCATTTTCCTACTTATACAACAGAGTCAAGACCAAATCTTTAAATTTCACCTTCATCAAACAGATATTCTTATTGAATGTACACATACACCATGGTGCCAAACACAAGCTGCTTATCCGGAGTCCAGTGTCAGGAAAAGAACTGGATTAAGTATACTCTCCCAAAAAAGAAACGCATCATGAAAATAGCAGTTTCATGTAGCAATGAAATAAAACGTGATTCATTTTACAAAAGGTTTTGCTCTGTTTATGAGTCCTATGGTGTTTATGTTTTGAAACATCACAACAAAACTCACCATCCGTAAAAATACCCGTATTTAACAGCATGATTTTCAGTTTCGGCGTGTAGTGTCACAGAATACAAAATTCATATGCAATGCACGTGAAAGTTGGGGATCAGATAGTCTCAATGATGGGTATAAAAGGTTGATCGCTGTCTGTCGATTATTCACTGTATTTGGAATATTGTTGACGAACGCAAAATGCCACGTCTAAGTGAAGCCAACCGTCATATCGCCATTGGTTTGTTTGAAGCTGGCCAGTCTCAACGTGCAGTTGCCCGACGCATGAATGTTCACCAAAGCACCATTTCACGGCTCTGGGAGAGATATCGCCGGCAGAATTCGGTAGCAGATGCTCCTCATAGTGGGCGACCTCGAGCGACCACTGCGGCGCAGGATCACTACATCCGGGTACATCACCTGCGTCATCGAACAGCTACGGCGACCAGTACCGCTCGACAAATACCCGGATTGAGGAGGCTTTCTGCACAGACCGTCAGGAACAGGTTGAGAGAGGCTGGTTTACGTGCCAGAAGACCTTATTTTGGCCCTGTGCTTCGACAAAAACATCGTCGACATCGAGTTCAACGGTGCACCAACGTTCAGGCCTGGAACCTACCGAATTGGCGTAGATTCTGGTTCAGTGATGAATCATGATTTCTATTGGAACGACGCGATGGAAGAATGCGGGTGTACAGACGTCGAAGTGAACGTTTCGCCGACGCTTGCGTTCCCCAGGTGGACAGATTCGGCCGGGACAGTGTTATGATGTGGGGAGCGATCACCTGCCGTAGGAGAAGTGATTTGGTGATGATCCAGGGCAACCTGACAGCTCAACGGTACTGTGACGAAATCCTACGCCCACACCTCCTTCCAATCATTGATCGCCAGAGGGAGTTGTTTCAACAGGACAATGCCAGGCCCCACACAGCACGTCACACTAGAGACTTCCTCCAGAACCACAACATCAATATGCTCCCCTGGCCATCAAGATCACCGGACTTAAACCCGGTCGAACATCTGTGGGATGCCCTGGACAGACGGGTGCGACGCCGTAACCCTCAGCCCCAGACACTTCAGCAACTCGCACAGGCACTACAGGCAGTGGGCTGCGATTGGGCAACACGAGATTCTGAAACTTATTCGTTCGATGCCGGGGCGATGCCGTGCAGTTCTGGATGCCCACGGTGGTCACACGAGGTATTGACTTCAGCGCCACCACACGTCTCCATGTGACACTCAAACTGACTTTCCTCGAGTTGGTGCCAAAGACGGATAAGTCTGCATTCCCAGTGTGCAATTTCGCTATATTTCATTGACTCATAAAGCCTACAAGATGTTTCATAATAAACATTAAAATACAGTTGAAATTCCTATATGCGTTTCTTTTTCGGGAGACTATATTTGCTATCACTCTTAGATAAGGAACATCTGAGGGTCAACGATGCTGTTCAGTATATCATGTTCAATTCAACCTCCCCTGGCCAACCATTGACGCTACTCCAACTATTGCAATTTCCGAATAAACAGAAGTCTTGCAACATTTGACACGTATTGTTTACCTTGATCTTACTACTTATGGCGGACATCCATTAACAGACAAATCCTCACTTTAGAAGCAGAACACCCAGGACCAGAAGACAAGGCTGTCTATGTTTCACCAGGAGCAACTGTGAAATCCAGGCCAAGGGCTCTTTCACCTCCATGTCAAATCGCACAGACACGAAGATTGTCATTCATGATTTTACATGTACATGTTTTGACAAATGGCCATTCATGAACTGTATGCTTTGGTATAATGCGCTCCATGGCCCATCTGATATATGGGAAATGGAAAGAACTTTGGATGGTTGAAAATCAAAAACATTTGTCACCATCTTGGAGAGCTTCATTCTTGTATTTCACCAGTGTTTCATGCTCATTTGAGGTGTGAAACGTTAGTCTCTGTACAAAGTCTACCTAGCATGCTTGGTGGGTTCCAGATGAAATAACAGAAACATTTGCGAGGCTAACCCAGGATTCATTCCAAGTATTGAACATATGTTCTGGTAATTTCTAAATACTTTTGTGTTTTACTGTGGTCATTTTAAAAAAAAGAAATCCCTCCCACAGCAATCGATCGGTGATCTGGGAATGGATCTCCTCTGTCATTTTCAGCAATAGTTTCTGTTCTTCATGAGCTCTCACAGATGTAGGATTCTGGAATGCAGTGACGTCATACCTGATATGACGTCAGGATTGGGGTGGAATCTAATACGTTTTTATAAATGTATGGATGGAAGTTAAACGTCCAAATGGATGCAATGGTCTAAGAAATCTGTCAATTATTCACATGGCGGCTACATACGTTCATTTTACAGTGTTTTATTTATTCCGAGGCGGTGGGGTAGCCTAGTGGTTAAAAGCGTTGGCTCGTCACGCCGAAGACCCGGGTTCGAATCCCCACATGGGTACAATGTGTGAAGCCCATTTCTGGTGTCCCCCGCCGTGATGTTGCTGGAATATTGCTACAAGCGGCGTAAAACCAAACTCAGTCAGTCAGTCAGTTTATTTATTCCATATCCGTCCATGTTACATTTTTTAAGCTTACATTGAACATTATATCCTGTGTGCACTTTACCGTTTCACAAATAAACATCACATTTTGCATTACACATTTCCATAACATGTGGCTGAGTATGTTGAAATAATTATAGCATTCACCGATAATAATCACAACAGTAAATGCAGATACTCTCTTATTTATATGTTAAAAGATTATTTATGTTTCGTAATCCAACCTGCACACTCAGGCCTCAGTAACAGCTTCTGAAGTCCATTTGGTGCATTTATTGTGGAGGAGGATGTTTAAATCTGTCTCTTGTTCTAATTTTCAGGTTGCAGTATATGAACTGTATCTGCTGTAGCATACATTTAACAAGACATTGTTTGTAAATATATTTTATTATCCACCACTTGACCTCTGTATCAACCAACAAACAACATTGCACAATATTCCTCACGACACCACGAAGACGTTCTCCTTCCACAGGCTCAGATTCAGGACGGGAATGGCAGCAGACCGGCAGTCCAGAACACGGTTCCTGGAATTACAACCAAATACAGTTATCACTACATGTTATGGTAAAAGTTTTACAGATCGTAACGTCCTGATATACTTTACTTTAGTTTACATGGACAAACATGAAGCAGTGATTCTTCATAGGGAAGATTCCAGTGTATATTCAGCATTGATAATCTGCTGACAATAGTGCGCGTGCGTGCGTGCGTGTGTGTGTGTGTGAGTGTGTGTGTGGATGTGTATGAATGGGTCATTGAAAGTTAGCGATGACGCCAGGTGTTCATGACTGATCATGTCTGATCTACCGGTGCCAGATCTAAGTCAGAATGGTGACATAGCTCGAGGTCATCAGTAAAACTCCGCACTGTTTAACGCGGTGGTCAACACAGCCCTAATTCCTCTGACCAACCAATCATGGTATGTGCTGAGTTTGTTTCGGTATTCTATAATCACACATCAAGAAGTAAACGTATCTTGCACAGATACGCCCGAAGGTAATAACGGGTCTGTCATATAATCGTATTTATAAATCCATTGTCTCATTAACTGAAGTAACTTTAGAAAGCGCCCCGAGGCGTGACATTATCTGAATGAACTTGTGTGTTAGAATATATGGTGGTACAGGAAACGTTACGCTTTAATTAAGGAAACAATTTTTCATTTTCATTTCAATGTAGTCCCGACAAGATGAGTTCATTTTGCATGATTATAGGATTGTGAGGTTCTGTCGGATTTAGTGTTTGTACCTCGTGAGCAGATTGTGTCAGCTACGGCCTAACTGCCTTTATATAATTTTATTGACGAACTACCACTGTCTGTAGAGGAAATATCAGGCTACATGTACTTTCATTCTGATACACAAAGATGCATGACTTCCTATCTTATCTTATAGATGCGGAAATAATCTTGTCAGTCAATCGTATTGTAACCAATATTTAAAATGTCCTCTCCAAAGCGCCGGCGTGTCTTACAAACACCGAACATGTACTAAACATACAGAAATAAACTTACTTGACCGTTCGTCAAACCTAATTCATAGTTTGTAGATCGATCATTATTCTGTTGTACAACCAGCATATGTCACTAGTAATATATTGCTTCCGCTAACCCCCACCCAGAGGGTAAACGGCTTTTCGGTTTGGTATTTTTGATACGTATAATTATTCATGAAGAGGCCATAAAATATTTATCCTTTGAAATTATATTTTACTGCATGTTGGCCCTATTGACAGAGCGAAATTTGTGGGTAAAGGAAAGGTCCGAGTTCAATTCCTAAGCGGGAGACCGATCGGCGAATTTGAAATGTGGGTAGTTCACTTATGCATTTAATGTTTACCTTCAGAGTGTGAATTCAATTACATTTATCATTTTAACACTGATGGATTTATGTTATTTTTAAAAGCACGTCACATAACAATCAACACTTTCTTAATCGTACATATAAGAAGGACGAAAAGAAAATGGTACCGACATAATACAAAATTATATGCTGCAAAGCGTAAGTTGTTACTGCATCGGACGCCCAGCGATGAAACTGTACTGGGTCATACATGAAGAAACATATGGTCATCCAGCGTGGACTTACCATTGACTTGGAACTTTGAAAACATCCTTCTGGATGTGTGGGATATGGGTGTTGTCACAGAGAATCCTTGACAGGGTGATTTTCTTCAGCTCGTTTATTTGTGCTGAAACACAGAATTATAAGGTACATTCTCCCAGCATAAGTAGTAAACCTCGTGGACACGTTTTTCCCATACTGACGACAGCCTCACTATGCAGCAACTACGGCTCTGTGGGGTAACATTCCCAAACGTATGATCCGTACTCCCAATACGTCAATAGGAAGGAGGTGCCAGGTTGTTCTTGGTGTCAAAGGTTCACACGGCTATTGGGTGAGTGAGTTTTGTTTTACTCCGCTTTTAGCAATATTCAAGCGGTATCACGGCGGGCGACACCAGAAATGGGCGTCATACCTTGTGCCTAGGCCCACCACCCCAACTGCTATAGAGATCTCATAACCTTAGCGGCGTCATTTCTATTTAGTGTCTTGATCGCTATCCATTATGTCTACTGCTGTCCATTTTTCAGTGCACCAAGCATCAAGTGTTCAGAGGTGCATTATATGTAACCAAGAACATGGTTGTGCGTTTCTTACTTTGATGAGTATATTTAACCCATCGTTCTTTAGCGATATCATTTGCATTAAAATGATAACAGGCAAGTCACAAAACAGTGGTGTATCTCCATCCTGCCAGTCAACCTTCAACACGATCTCCAGCCTGTTCATCTAGGTAAGGTAAGGGCCATCAGCATGTATGTACATGTTAGGGCTGGATAAAAAAGATCGATAATCGATAATCGGAAATATCGTCGATTGGAACAATTATTAATGATTATCGGCCCCACCACAAAAATAGTGTCATCGGTAATATCGTACATAAAACGTTTGTGATAGAATGAAGTTTTATATCTATTCATGCAATACACACAATTAGGTATTTATTCACAGGCTGCTTCTAAATTCTGATAAGGATGCTGTTTTTTAGAAACCCATGCATCAACATGTCACCTCTCACCAGTGGTGTGAATTGTATTCTTTTCTTTCAGAATTTTTCGGGCATTTTTGCTCAAAGTTACTTATCCGATATTTATCGACAATCGATCGATATTCAGTTAACGATTATCGATCTCTGTGATCTATATCGATGTACAGTGTGAGCAGGATGAGACTTACCTGGTGTGAAACCAATTCTTTCATCCGGCGTCTCATACCAGAATCTGTCGGAGTGTCGCAGGTTCTTAAACTGGCGCCCTATGATCGCTGCGAACGTCGGTCCGACCATGCCGCCATCTACCGGCTTCTCGCTCATGCCGCCCACAAACAGGTCCACGTCTTCGTAACGGTTCCTTCAAACAGATGTGGTATGGTAGAGTATGCTGGTGGCCAAGGGAACGCGATCTGAGATCTGTTTAACAACGCCATCTTAGAGCTTCGTCATTCGTAGGTCTATGCGAACGTATAGAAGTTACGACTGTCTTAGACAAAGGCCGTGGGTGCCGTTGTACAAAGTAACCTTAGAGCTACGTCATTCGTAAGTCTACGTGAACGTAAATATATTCCTAGACAAAACCATGGGTGCCGTTGTCAAAGTAACCTTAGAGCTACGTCATTCGTAAGTCTACGTGAACGTATATATATTCCTAGACAAAGACCATGGGTGCCGTTGTCAAAGTAACCTTAGAGCTACGTCATTCGTAAGTCTACGTGAACGTATATATATTCCTAGACAAAGACCATGGGTGCCGTTGTCAAAGTAACCTTAGAGCTACGTCATTCGTAAGTCTACGTGAACGTATATATATTCCTAGACAAAGACCACGGGTGCCGTTGTACAAAGTAACCTTAGAGCTACGTCATTCGTAAGTCTACGTGAACGTATATATATTCCTAGACAAAGACCACGGGTGCCGTTGTCAAAGTAACCTTAGAGCTACGTCATTCGTAAGTCGACGTGAACGTATATATATTCCTAGACAAAGACCATGGGTGCCGTTGTACAAAGTAACCTTAGAGCTACGTCATTCGTAAGTCTGCGTGAACGTATATATATTCCTAGATAAAGACCATGGGTGCCGTTGTACAAAGTAACCTTAGAGCTACGTCATTCGTAAGTCTGCGTGAACGTATATATATTCCTAGATAAAGACCATGGGTGCCGTTGTCAAAGTAACCAAAGTAACGTCATTCGTAAGTCGACGTGAACGTATGGAAGTTACGATTGCCATAGACAAAGACCATGGGTGCCGTTGTACAAAGTAACCTTAGACGACATCCTTGGTGCAGGGATCGCTTTGTATAATGTACTCTGATTCATATGTCACTCAGAATGAGGTTGTAACTCTAAGGTGTACAACGATATTGTTTGTCCCAGTTGATTTATGGCATTGGTGATGGTGACGGTGACAATTCTGATGATACTGACGGTGATGATGGTAAAGGTTATGCTGCAGCTGGTGATGAAATAAGGTTGGTGCAGCTGGTGATGAAATAAGGTTGGTGCAGCTGGTGATGAAATAAGGTTGGTGCAGCTGGTGATGAAATAAGGTTGGTGCAGCTGGTGATGAAATAAGGTTGGTGCAGCTGGTGATGAAATAAGGTTGGTGCAGCTGGTGATGAAATAAGGTTGGTGCAGCTGGTGATGAAATAAGGTTGGTGCAGCTGGTGATGAAATAAGGTTGGTTTACAGCTGGTGATGAAATACAGGTTGGTGCCCTATGGGGAATGGAACCTGGATCTTCAGCATGACGAGAGAAAAGGTTGGTGCGCTTTAACCATGAGGCTATCCCGCCGCCCCGTGGTGATAATGAACAAAAATAGATATTAAACGGCGGTGTTTCTGTAAGGAACTGATGGTTATAGTTATGATTTCTAATGATGGTAATGTTGACAATGGACATACGATTTCACTTTACTTGACAACACAACAAGCAGTATAACCTGCTCACCACTATTGGTCAACACAACCACACGCATGCGCACAGTCACTCTCGTCAATCAAGGCTACGACAACAGACGCATATTACACGAAACTTACTTGTAAGTTCTCAAACACTGATAAGAGAGGGTTGCCCGTGGGGGTCCGGCAGTAACAGCTCTTTTGCCTCTAACCCTATAGCCAAAGCCCAGTGGACGGCGTGCCGGGGCTGTGAACACTGGTCTGTAGGTCGAAGCTCTCTGGACAGGCGAGAAAGGACGACGGCGATTCATCGCGTTGCCAAGATGAGTAAGGTAGTCAGAATTTGGTTTCGACACTTCCCCATGTTGACAAACATTGGACTGTTTGGGTCCGGATTTCGGAGGAAGGGACCCCTTGTGAGTTCCGGGTAATAGCGGCTTGCAAAGTTATGGAAAGCTACATATGGGGGGAGGCCGTGATCTCGTCCCCTCTGAATATTCCTGGCAGCCAAGTCAAAGCTAATTCCAGTTGTTGGGAAATCTTGAAAGAGGTGATCTGTGACTCCTAGTGTGAAGAACCTGTCGGACTTCTGACAAGGACTCTGGATAATACCCTCGATGAGAGAGTCCATACCCTTGCCGTTCTGGTTAAGGTTGAAACTTGGCCTGAAAAACATCTGATCAATCTTTTCTCGGGGATTCCGGAGAGTTTTATGAGTTCTGTCAATCATGGAATGTCCGAAGCGATACGCTGCAGTCGCGAAACTGTTGATGATTTCCGGATTCACATTTGGATTGTATCGGTAAGGAGTGTCCAAGTCATATCTCCTCATTCCTCGTCGTCCCAGGACAATCGGCAGGTACTCCTCGTAGGAAATCACCTGCATGGCAGCAGCAATAATCTTCCGTGTTTCTTGGAAGAGACTTTCATCGTCCCAGTGCGGATTGATGACAGCAAAACTCCGGGCAATGCGGTTGTGTTCTCGATGGAACACAGTGTGTAGACTCGTTAGTGGAGGGAATTCATTAACTCTCACGTCACCTGGGGAACAAAACATATGTGAGTGATTGTTGTTTTATGGGCATTAAATTTCATACAAAGAAATGTGTTTAGTTCGTTCTGATGCGACCTATCTTCAGAGAACGAGAGACTTCTTCGTAGCAGTTGGTAGGTTTGTTGTTTAACGCCACACTCAGCAATATTTCAGCTATATGGCGGTGGTCTGTAAATAATCGAGTCTGGACCAAACAATCCAGTGATCAACAACATAAGCATCGATCCCGTCAGCCGCCATTTACAACAAGCATGGCTTGCTGAAGACCAATTCTAACATGAATATTATTTCGAAAAATATCCGGTACAAGCAGTATTGAATAACTAGAAGATGTATAGCTCGGTAGTAACTGTAACCGTTCACATACCAGAGAAGAAGCACGAGTTGGAGTCACTCTTCAAGCACGGCCTTTTGATGGTGGTATTTCTCAACAACAAGTCGTTCTCACCCGTCTTAAGTAAACCTGAAACAGCGAAACACACAAACTCTGAATATGTATAAACCAAAAAGATATCATCCAAAGAAAATGTTCTTTTTTGGCTATGTATCGAAAAATAACATTCCTTTAAACCTTGGCATTATTTTATCAAAACGAATTCTTTTCAACTTTAGAAATAGTAACTACCCACCAACATTCCAATTCATACAGAATTTAAGGAGCGCAGTGAATTTTACAAGGTAACAAAGTATACCTCTGTCATTAAATGTAATAGAGACTACTTCAATAGGCTTGGTCAAACTGCAATGCTCTATTCGCTTGAATATATTGTTATACAAAACCGTGCAAATGCTTAAGATGAATACACGAATTATATAAAAAGATATTATTTAGAAACGGTTGGTCCAAGTGAGAATGGTGCGGTATTTGAACACAGTATTTCTACATGAGAGGTGAGGTGAGGTGAAATTGGGTTTAACGTCGCGCTTGAGAATATTTCGCTCATATGACGACGTGCATGCGTGTGTATGTGTATGTGCGGATGCTTGTACTAGCCCAGACTTAAGCTGGTTTTAAAGTGCTAGCCCACTGAGATACCATGCCGCAGTGAAGCATGAATACCCCACTCAGACACATTATACTGACTCCGAGCCGACCAGTCCTTGTTGTACCCATTAATGCCGAACGCCAGGCAGGGACCAACAAGTACCATATTTTAACGTCTTTTGGTATGACGCGGTCGGGGATCGAACCCGCGACCTTCCGCTCTCTCTACATGAGAGATACCAATGGAGGTGGTTTATCTCGGTTCGACAAAATGATTATATTACGGTAGTCTAGTGGAAGTTATATCAGGATATTGTTATCTTGGACTGTATTTTAGTTATAGGTTTCAGTGGTCGAAAGCGTTTGACGATATTTCTTTTCAAGCCAGAAAAATGGTGTCATTACTTCTTAGTTGTGTACATCCTTTGAAACAACACACCCCTCATCTGTACTTTGTCGATACAAAAATAACACCAATTCTCCTCTACGGGGCTGAAATTTGGGGGCTTAATAATATAGAACTGGAAAAGTACATTTTGCAAACGTTTTTTAAACGTTAAGTTATCAACGTCGAATAATAGAGTACTAGCCGACTGTGGTAGATATTCTATTAAATTATCTGCTGTTTTAAAATGTATTAAATATTGGTTTTGTCTTATTAACATACCTGAATGCAGTTTGCCTCGAAAATGTTACAATATGGGGTGTATGTATGATGTTAGAAATATCATACATAGGTTTTTGCGATGTTTGAGTATCACATACTTACGGAGATAAAAACATTTTGTTAATGTGTTTTCTCAGCGACTGAAAGATCATTTTCGGCAAGTTTAGCACAGTGATTTATCTGAGTGCCCTAAAATGTTTACGTATTGTAATTTAAAATTAACTATTTCTTGTGAAACATATTTAAAACATATTACTGTATTCAAACATAGATCTTGTTTATCACGATTTAGGTTAAGTTCCCATAGTTTAGAAATTGAAAGAGGCCGTTACTATAACATTCCCCGGGAACAAAGAAAATGCAAAATGTGTAACTTAAACGTAACTGAAAATGAATATCACTTCTTACTTATCTGTCCAGCCTAGAATTAAGACGTAAATATCTGTTGTTGCAATTCTATATTTTTCCCAATACACGAAAATCTTATCCGTTGTTATGTAGATATTTCCTTTTATCATCCAAAACTGTGTTCCTCAGGAGATATTGCTTGTGTGAGATCAAACGATATCTCCTAGGAGATATCGCTCTGACAGTAGATTTTGTACAATGCCCTGACAATGCTATGACGTCATGAACTTGATGACGTCACAATGCTATGACATCGTTTCACTGCAAGCCTAATGGCAGTACTGTGTTCAGAGATGTACATTTTTCATTGAAAACTAATGAAGGGTGATTTTGGATGATAAATAGAATCTCACCCTCGTGTCTTCTGATATCAAATATATCAACACTCGTTGATAAAAGTTAAAATATCCTCGGCAAGCCTCGGATATTTGTAACTTTATCAACTCGTGTTGATATAATTGATATCAGAAGACACTTGGGTGAGATTCTCTATGAATACTGCTAAATGTTTGTTTTACGCATTCGAAAAAAAGGAAATCAATTTTGTCATATTAAGATTGTATATGGTGTACATGCTTTCATTGTTATCATTATATTTCATGTCTGCACCCATGAGGTGTTTTTGTACTTACAGGCCCGTGGCCTCACAGTATTGGATATAAAGATTTGAGAGAAACCAACGAAGCTCTGTCAGTAATTACCTCCCTGGAATGTTCTGGACTCTGTCATCTCCATCACGCTGGAACCGTATATATGGGAAGCATCGATGTAGGCCGTAATGATGTTCATCTGTTCTCGCCTCTCTGAAAGAAAGAGTTTAGCTTTACCCCACTGTATTGGAGATACGACACGTCGTGTCTTAGAAATATGTCAAGAATTTTAAGGGAAAATATAGCCTATATATAATGTGTAGCATAACAACACAAGTGGGTCTGAGCAACATACAGTGATTAATTTAATAGAACGTCTGTAGAAAAGAATCCCCTTTCTTGACTATCCTCGTTTGGTGTAAAAGGGAAATATATCTGTGAAAATGATATGAATGAATCACTGAAAATTAGTATAATGTATGGCTCATCTGTCTATCTACTTGTCTTCAGGACTCATGATGCTGACAGAAGCAGAGGTCCGTTTTTCAGAACGACATAATTTTCAGCACTCACCATACTGTTCAGCGGGCATTGACCTTCGAAATTCCATACAGGAATATCGAAAATGTCGATCGTTGGGCATGATATGGATTGGATAGCACTCGCCCCTGAAACAGATAACCCAGAGATATTTTATATTGTTCAGTGCTGTGGGTACAAATTCCCTTTAGAAATTCACTTGGTAAGACAGCCATGCCAGCACTACCGAGAGTCCAGGCTTGAGTTGGACATTGGGTGTCTACAGACTGTCCCAGTGAACATATACTTCCGTCGCTGTTTGCCTGAAATAATGCTGACTAAACGCCAAATTGTAAATCACTCACTCAAACATATAATGCCCAGATTAAGGTAAAGAACAGCCATTATTCCATATGACTGTATCTAATCTGCCATAGTTGTTATTGCAACACACAGGCTGCCAATGGTGGGGTTCCTTAACTTGTTTTGAGTGGTATGAATGATGGTTTTCAGTTTCTTCGTCAACATAGCGGCGATTTGTCTACAGAATAGTGATCGGTTTCGTTCCGGGTGTCCTAAACAGACAAATCCCTGACAAGGCCGTTAAGACAAAACACTATCTGTTTACAAGTAAGGTCATCGGTAGCCATCACAGGTCTGTGTGAGGGCACATTGAAGACGCCGTGCAGCCTGTGGGAGCCATTGCTGATGACCTTTCCGAGCTGCTCGATCTTCCTACAGCCCATCATCGTCAAGCAAGGTTACAGTGGGAAACGTATCATAACTGATGCCAGTTGAAAGCAGATCTTGCATATCCAAAGAAGTTAAAAGTATCCGAAATGTATCTGAACAAGCTCGTTGTACCAATTGGTGTTCCAGAACGTTGTATTGCAGGTATTGATTCAGAAGGTACACGAAGTACGGAAGTGGAAGTGGTGAATGTTTTTAAACTGAACATCTGAATAAATTCTGTTCTTTTCCACGCTCACACTGAACACCGTCCTTCGATACATATACGTTCTTTAAAAAAGCATGTGTAATGATCAAAATATTTTTGTTTTCTTCTTGTGGTACAATATTTTCACGTTTCAGTGGATATCGGATAAGGTGTTTGGGGAACTCTCTTGCCATTCAGGAGCCCGGTGTTATTCATGCCGACTCACCCTGTATAGTAGTCCGGGTGGGTGGCATTCATCTGGTGGTCAGCGCAGCAGTCTTTCGTTTCTGTAACAGGTTTGTCCTTATGGTTATACGAGTGATCGGAAGCATGATGTTCTTAGAAACAGCTGTGAATAATATTTGCAAAACTTTCAGCATTATATTTTACAGGCATATGATCCATATTCTAGTATCCTATTGACCAAGGGTGTACTTGCTACCGATCCTGAGTGTACTCACTACTGACCCAGGGTGTACTTGCTACCGATCCTGGGTGTACTCACTACTGACCCAGGGTGTATACACTAGTGATCCTGGGTGTATACACTATTGGCCCTAGGTGCACTTGCTACCGATCCTAGATGTACTCACTATTGACCCTGGTGTACTTGTATACTGACCTGGTGACCCTGGGTGTACTTTGCTACACCTGGTTGTACTGACTCCCTGGGTGTATACACCCTAGGTGTACTTGCTACTGAACCTGGGTGTACTCACATAGACCCTAGGTGTACTACCCTGGGTGGTATACACTACTGATCCTGGTGTACTTGCTACTGATCCTGGTGTACTCATTGACCCTGGGTGTACTTGCTACTGATCCTGGGTGTACTCACTACTGACCCTAGGTGTACTTTGCTACTGACCCCAGGTGTACTCACTTTTGACCCTGGTGTACTTGCTACTGACCCTGGGTGTACTCACTATTGACCCTGGGTGTACTTGCTACTGATCCTGGGTGTACACACTATTGGCCCTAGGTGTACTTGCTACTGAACCTGGGTGTACTCACTACTGACCCTAGGTGTACTTGCTACTGACCCCAGGTGTACTCACTATTGACCCAGGGTGTACTTGCTACTGATCCTGGGGTGTACATCACTATTGACCCTGGGTCCCTAGGGGTGTACTAGGTGTACTTGCTACTGATCCTGGGTGTACTCACTATTGACCCTGGGTGTACTTGCTACTGATCCTGGGTGTACATTATTGACCTACTGGGGTGTACTTGCTACTGAACCTGGGTGTACTCACTGATCCTGACCCTAGGTGTACTTGCTACTGAACCTGGGTGTACTACTGACCCTGGGTGTACTCACTGGGTGTACTCATTATTGACCCAGGGTGTACTTGCTACTGATATTGGGTGTACACACTATTGGCCCTAGGTTGTGTACTTGCTACTTATCCTGTACACACTATTGACCCTAGGTGTACTC